GATCGAAGTAGTTAGTTTAGTTTATAGTGATGTTGTTTTGTATTTGTGCAAGTGAGTGTGATAATGATTGTTTGTGTGTGTGCGTTTGTGTGAATGTCACTCACCTAATGTAACTTAGTTTAGATGCAAATAAATTTAAATGCGGGGATGAACAAACATACATGCAGGATAATATAGCAGCTTGTTTTATAGCATGGATTCTCTTCAACTGTGTACATTCTAAACAAAATCAAAGTTATAAGTTCCGAAATTTTCTGAACATGCTTTTCAGAAAAGAATGTTTACTGAACAAAGTATACTCTTTTTGATAACTTCATCGTCATCAGGCTCTACAGTTATATATACATCATAGTGAATGAATGAATTAGTGTCCAACATGGATGTTGGTTAAGTGTCATCGAATCAATAATAATATCAATGGATTACAGTTCGATAGCATCAACATAAAATAAGCTGAATGTCAGAAAAATTAGGAAAGATAATATTGCAAATTCATGAATTTATGGTCTCCACTGAAGGTCGGCCAGGGCAGTAGTATGGGCTAGACTTGCTTCTTTTGCACACAGAGCACTGGTTGTTTGAGGCGAATTGCGATAGCCTGTGCTGTTTGGAGCATGCGGTACTTCGATGTTTTTGGCAATTTATTAGGCACCCGGTAGATGATAGAGAAGGGTTCCAAGCTAAAGCTTTGACGTTTCAGTAGCAATGGGTTTATTTTTACGGGGTGGGATCGCTATTCCTAAGCCCAACCTTCCCTCTTTGCCGGGTTTATAACCGGCTAAGCGAGGTTTGGAAGTGTGGCGGCCGGGGATCGAATCCTGGATCACGTGCACGGTTGGCGAGCATTCTACCTCTGCGTCACCGATGCACCTAGACAGGATTGTACAGAGTACATAATTCCAAAAAACGATATAACAGACGAATTGTTCAGTATCAAAAGACTATTTATGGTATAATTAGACAAGGAGGGTGGGGGGCATGGTTCATACTTCGCTTGGAAACGAGGATAGACTAGAGACAAACTATAACATCGAACAAAGACAGAGTGAATTTATCCGTAATTATGATGGTGAGTTAAAGAGGGTAGGAGTGAGTATTAAATTATGAAATTATGACATAGACAAACAATTAAGTCGATTTGGAAACTTAATAGTGAGTTCAACTCAGTAAAAAGAAAATAGAAATCAAAATTAAGTGGAATGTTATGCAACAGAACAAAACACAAAAACACACGAACAAAACAGTTACAGTTACCAGGGTAAAGAGAAATTAGTCACGCTATCTTTTTGCATACAAAGGTTAGGTCGAAGTCTTTTGATAGCAATGGCTTCTGCGAACTGAAGTAACCATGGTTTTCTTTCTGTATTGATTGGATTTTTTGAAAGCCTCATTGTTTTCCGCTATATCTTCCATGTCAATTAGGTATCCTGTTATCCTGCAAATATTTTCGTTCTTTCTTTGTTTAAACTAAATAAGGGGAAACTGTTATATGAAATGTCTAAGCTGGGTTTTCAAGTTATCACATTTTGGAGCAAATTCGTAGAAAAGAAATATTATAAAACCACAGTCCATAAAAGATATATATATATATATACATGTATATATATACTTGTATCTGCGGGAGCAGTTACATTGGAAGGACAGAAAGAAGGGCATATCTACGATTTCCTGAACATGTACCAAAAAGCTTATGTCTAAAGGGAACAAATGCTTTAAACAGTGCCATCACCAGGCATCTCCTCGACACGAGTCATGAGGTGGACGTCGAAAAGTCGTTCAAAATTATCATTAAGCAAAATAGCTCGATTCTCCTTTAGTTTGCTGAAGCCATTTCCATCAAGCTCCTGAAACCTGATTCATGCGTCCAGAAAGAAGCGGTTATCAGTCTTTCTTTGCCCTGGTTACTGGATATTTTGATCTTTCTTTCATCTGAATGCGAAATGCTGAAAAGTTTCCATTGTATATGATTATTATTGTTCGGAACAGTGTTTAATATTATATATATATATATATATATATATATATATATTACTGTGTGCATGTTTTGATCGATTGATTTCTGTTTAAAATGAACTCTGTGCAAGTGTGTTAAAATTGTTTCTGTAGATATATTTAATAATGTCTTTGCCCTGTAAGCAGCTGACGAGAAGGCAACGAAATAAAAGATGGTACCCATTTATTCTGCTAAAACTGTAGTTCTTGCTTTGTTCAAAGGATAATTAGGCAGATGAAGATTAGTCAAGATTTAGTGCCATATTTTGCTGTGACCTCTCTCAACTCTTTTCCATGCTAATCCCATTTCAGCTCACATTCCTCATAGATGAAGCCTTATAATCTCATCGATCGACTTTCCCCTCTTCACCACCTAAAACTCTACACCTAACCTCATTATTTCCGATCATATTACTCCACCTAATATGGTAGATTGGGCGGAAGTATCTAGGATAAACTCCGACTAGTCTATTCGCGCCTTCCACTTTCAAGGGTCATACCTCACAGTTTTTTTATATTTAAAACGGAGTGTACTCTTGCACTGTAAACACGCCATTTGATGGATATTTGAATATCATGTCAGTGCGAAAACAGTGTAAGTTGGCAAATGATGTCCGTTCTGAGTGAGATTTCGTCAGCAATTATTCTCTTAGAAGTAATCTAATTTGACAAACAACGGTAATGGTCAACCGTTTCATTCACTATACTTCAGTTAGGAGTCGGTGTGAACCAGGTCGAATGTGAAGTAAGCAGCAAAATTTACTGAATATATTCCTGTCAACAGGTTTCGTCTCAAGTGATAACTCTTTACATATGTGTATGATAATTCAGGTTCAATTACAAAGTCGATTAATATTATTAACGGAAAAGCATACCCTTATGCTGTCAGTACAAAGTGGTCAGAAGTATACGTGCTAATGCTGCAGTTGGAACACTTGAACACGAAATAGGAGTTTAATGCAAATTCATCCTGCTTTACCATCTTCCATTTAACATATGCTCTGTAGTGCGTATTTAAGCTCACTAAAATTTTCATACATACACTGTGTTCAAAAGTGTATATCTTGTCAGTTATCGCTTACTACTACCATTATGGTATTTCCGAATCCCAATTAACTTTCAGATAATTATGAGTTTGGTGACCTAAGAGATTGCAATTTGCTTGTGGTTAATATTGGACTGATAACCTAAAAAGGTCAGCCTGATTGGAAAACACAGTTGATTTCATTACCCACTGTCGAACAATTCTTTTGTCGTAACCTACTATGCTGAATCACTGTCTTTCATGGCTTCGAGTTTTACCACGGATTGATATCAGTTGGAAAACCATTGAAAACCAACAGAGAGTGTCATCGTGCAGAGTGTTTAGGAATCCTCAATTTACTAGATCATTTAGTGCATTGATAGTGCTTTCCGGGAGACGCTTCTTCAAGAATTGAAAACATTTATTTCCCGATACGAATTTAAAACAAGCAATAAAGCAGGATTCATCAAATGAATTCATCAAATTTCTGTAGAACTCGTCGGCTGAATGCTCTACATACACTGATGTATATATTTTTGAAATTACGTTGGGAGATATAAGACTGATAAGCAAATAAACTGCATTGAATTAATTAGCCATGCAGAAAGACAGGTGCGAATGTTTTCCAGGTCATGTTCAAATAGATAAGAGGAGAGGGAGAATAAGAGATTAAAATTAAGACGAAATGCATTACGCTTCAATTGCATCATTTAGGCAAACAATTAGTCATTAGAGAATATATCAAGAATTACAGACAGAGTAATATCAATAGTAATAGTTATAATAACAATAATAATAGTGTTAAAGTGAGTTAAGATAATGCTACTGATAAAGGATAGTTTTAAATGAATCAAGAATAATAATAATAAGAGGTGGAATAATAAGTAAAACGTATAACCATGGTAGATCGAGTCTCTCCGGCACCCACCAGGGTTCGAACCTAGGACCTTCCGGTTACAAGACCATTCAGCTACTAGGACCCGATTCAGTGACCCATGAGGGATCAAACGTAATTTAGATTATTTCCAGATGACCGGTTTGAAATTGGACGAAATGTGCATCCTGAATTCCACTGTTCTGTCTGTCTGTTTTCTACCTAGAACGTTGCACATACGCGCGACAGTTCAAGTCACCACACTCCATGTAGCACACAAAGCAAGAGAAGAAAGTAGAAGAAATGCAAAATAGAGATAGTAGACAGGGATATGAGACAAAAGGAATAGTAATAACGAAGAACAATATAGTTTCATCATTGGAAATTATAAGTCACAAGGAGTGGATGTATCTGCACCCGCCATTGAGAACGATTTTGAACCATGTCACCTACTGTTTCCAACCATTGGTTTTTACCGTCCTGAGGACCCCAACCAGGAAGTCTACATCTCCCTACGTGGCTTAGACTAACTGTTGTAGATTTCATTGACTGGTGCCATGTTTTGGTTTGACCGCCGCTTGCTCTTTTCCAGCCTAACCCCATATCAGCTAACATTGCCCGTCGAGGAAGGCGATGACTAGGCATACGTAACACGAATTCCACTGTTAGCGTACGAAACTAGTTTATTTTCACAATAAGGTGACCTCAGTAATCGTTGTCCCGGTTTCTGATTTTCCCTTAAGTATGCCCTTTAATCTTAAATCATCAATTATCTTACTTCATAAAATTGCTTCTCGTCATTAGTTTGAACAAAGCGAGGTCAAATATATTTCCAAACATATTGAACTTCTCTCCCTAGTTTAAAGTTGTTACTCTTTGAAGGGGGGGGGTAGTGATGAATACTATTGTTGTTTGTTACATACTATTTCTTAGATGAAATTTCAATTGAGTCAGCTTCTTTCATACTTTTGAATAGACTATGATTGTTAACAAGAGCTTATTGGTTAGTAAGCTGGACTCACTATTTGATTATTAATCGCCTGAATGCGTTTTCAATCAATCAATCTATGTATCTGTCAATGTCTTTTTTTCATTGAAATTTTCTTTCAGACGCCTGAACCACCTGTTTATCTGAATGCACAACTTTATAATTGGAATGGTTGGTACTTTTTCTGTATGGGTCAACTACTGTCCATCTTCAATGGATTCGCTTTTATTACAATTCAACTGCAACCAGAAGATGGTTGTCTACGTATCTTATGCATTCATCACTATGGAAATAGAAGTAGTCCGACACCAGTGCAACTACATCCAGGAGAAAATCCATTTCCACGACCTGGTAAGTCTATGCTTCTGTTAAAAGTTCATAGCTGACTTATGTTAATAATTCACAGAGTGTGGTGGTAGATTTTGTACAGATTTCCATCGTTGTCATTTAGTAGGTATAGTAAAAATGATGATTCAAATAACTCTTTGTTCACTTCTGATACTCTTTAACTAGGTCAGTAAGTCTTTTGTTCATTTAAGCCTGTAAAATCCTGTACATTATATGTTCATTAATCATATCTATAAAATTTGATAGTTCGACGTTTCTCCGGGTTTCTAAGTTACTGAGTATCTGGTCTATCATTATCATCATCGACATTTCATGACGAGGATTATCTGCTATAACTAGGGTGATTCCATAGTTTTTGTCTGTATTATCAGTCCCGTTTGGGTTCAAAGTTCAACTTTGGATATAGGGTGATTTATTTAAACGTGTATATGCGAGTGTTTTTCTTTCTCTGATCTGACATTTAGCTAGTTTGTGCTGTGAAGGAATACTATCGTCTTTTGGCTATGGGATTTCATCATGAGCTGACATCAGTTAGAGAACCATTGGAAAACCTGCAGGGAGTACTGCACAGCTGTTTCGTCCAAGTTTGGGACTCTTAAGCAGTAGGCACCCACCGGGGTTCGAACCCAGGACCTTCTGGTTACAAGGCGAGCTAGCTCGTATACCATTAAACCACTGGGACCCGATCCAATGGCCCATGAATTCTAGCTTCTGCCAATTCACGATATAGCGCAACCGCTAGCCAATGTCTTCGGCGATTATTTGTCCTCACACCCAACTTGCTGCACCCTACTGATCACGACTTCCCACTAGATAACTTCGGTAGTAGAGTGGATCCTGAAGATATCATTCTAAATGCCTGGCAAGCAAATTACGCTATGACATAGTATAAACCCATAGACTAGCATGGTAAATTAACCTGTTTAATATATACATTAGTCAATACGTCATTATCCTATTTATTTAAAACAAAAAATTGGTAGAACAGCAGGTTGGGTGTGAGGACAAATACTCGCCGAAGACATTGGCTAGCAGTTGCGCTATATCGTGAATTGGCAGAAGTTAGAATTCATGGGCCATTGGATCGGGTCCCAGTGGTTTAATGGTATACGAGCTAGCTCGCGTTGTAACCAGAAGGTCCTGGGTTTGAACCCCGGTGAGTGCGTACTGGTGAAGGGTCCCAAACTAGGACGAAAGAGTTGTCCAGTACTCCCAGGTTTTCCAATGGTTCATGATGAAATCCTATAACCAATCAACCAAATCCCTACAAACCAATACTTGACTATCGTTTTTGTTTAATTTCATTATTGTATGAAAGTTTTTTTTCAAATCTAAAACTCAGAAATTCAATTGTTCTCAGTTGTATCATTTAAAGTTTTTCGAGTTAATTCCTGTATTCCATGTAATGATCGAAATAGACTCGTTGTGGTCTTAAACGCCAGGGAACCAACCGATCTTTGCGTCGTACTGTGTATAGCTGTCTGAAACTTCTTTGAGAAAGATGCACAGTCACAAAACGCCCCGAAGGCAGCAAACAGATGATTATTCATCCTTGGGATGGTTGATTGTACTGTTCAACAATAATAACACCAAAACTTCAAAATTACCTCAACAGTACCGTTAGACAGCTATACACAAGCAAGGTAACTTTCAAGTACAAAACAAGTAGTGTAGAATAAAATTAATTAATCAAACTTCAGCTGTAAGAAGTACCTTAGAATCAAGTAGAATATTCCCAACAATAGAATCAAAATCTTTCGGCAAGAATTACGCACCAAACAACCCTCACAGACATTTCAAGGTCAGAATGACAAAATACCTAATAAATATCAATACACAACCACAAAGAGAAGCACTAAATTTAGAGATTAAACAGGAACACAGACAGACAATAAGGATCAAGTTTTAACACATGATATGCAAATGTCACAACAATGATATACAGTCTAGGAGAGAAAAGGGATAATAATTACAAAGTTAGTTGAAACGTTCAAATAATCATCAATATTGTATTCGGATCATGCTGGAGTGATCTTTCCCTTGTCCTCCATATCCCTGTGTTTATTCCGTAGATATCTCATGTCACACCAACGTTTTACTAGTTTTTCATCGCTGATTTCTTACTTTAGGATTTTCTCACTGACTATGACACGAAGTGTTAGTGGATTGTGCGGGGTCGTGTAACTTGATTAGAATACGACTGCATGCAGAACACAACATTATAACCAACTAATCACTTGAATTTATCTTCCACACTGAGATCGATAAAAGAAAAGTCAGACTGGGAGAAACGACGACAACTGGAATGGTGACAACAACAATAACAATAAATAACAAGCGCAACAATATTTATTAGACAAAACACATGGTATATCTATCATATTTACGAAATCTCAGGAATTTAAGCCATAAATAAACCGTATGGAAACTGACCAATCAGGTTATCATGTCAACACATGCGTAAATCATGACTTCACAGCTGACATAGAAGCTTGTCTGTCCTAATATATATGTTTAAAACGTGTTGATATTGACAGCTCTACCTGGTTTAACAGTTAAGCTTTTGCTTGTCTACTTGAAAACATATATGGTTATTGTAAAAACTTAGATTAAGATTATATTAGTGGCTATAAATTAAAGCCTAGCTCACACAGTTCTTCCCACTAATAAACTTGAACAAAGCAAGGATGACAAAAATGTACCATCTCTCATCCTTTATTATTTCGCGGTTTCTTCGTAGCTGGCTGCATGTACGTACTTAAAACACATACAGGAGGAAAACAGTAGGAAGAGTTCGTATCCGCATTTCTGAACACATACGCAAGAACCTGAAACCAAAGGGCTCACAAGCATTAAACAGTGCTATCGCACGCCATCTATTAGACATTAGTCATATTGTGAGGTAATCTGAAGGCGTTCAAAATAATCAACAGGCAAAAGAAACCTAGCCTGCTGCGTTTTGCTGAGACGTAATCGCCATCAAACGGTTTAAACCAAATCAATGTACGCGGTGGTGGATCTTCCACTGCTTTGGTGATAAAAAGAGTATATAAATCTTATTACGTCATCTTCTGTCCTGTTTAGAAAAATCTTATTGTTACATCTAAATATGACTCACTCTAATGCCTCACGTTTTTGCTATTTTATAAAAGTATATTTCCTGCAGTTACTCAACCTATACTCTTTCCAGTTAAATTTTGTTTCTACCCCAAAAATTTCTTGAACTTTGTCCTTATGATCCCAAGCATATTCGTGTAATTATCCTATATACATAGTCAATCCGTTTACCTCTTAATTTAGTTAACAACTTCCATTATTCCAGACCTATGTTACTTCCAGTGTTCCTATATCAATTACTCCTTGTCATCGTGGAAAAAGTATGTAATTTATACTTTTTTGTATTGTTCTGCTTGTAACCAGCGGAGAAGAAACCGTGAAATAATATGGAGAATGAGCTTATATTTATCGATTGTATAGTGGTGAGTATCTCCGCCTGTCACGTGGAAGGCCCGGGTCGATTCCCGGTTGAGGAGCTGGCTTTTGTCGGTGACACAGCGGTTAGGACGCTCGCCGACCACGCCTCACGTGGTCCGGGGTTCGATTCTCGGCCGCCGACGCACTCTTTTACTTCACTAAGCCAGTACTAGAACTGGCAAAGAGGGAATGTTGGACATGAGACTAGCAACCCCATCCAGTAAAAATAATCCCCACTGCTACAGAAACTTCAAGCGTCTAGCGTGAAGCCCTATATTCCACTGGGATTAAAAAAAATTCGTAGCTCTTGTTTTGTTAAAGTACACACAATTCATGAATATTTGTACATGATTATTATTATTAAATGTTGTATTGAGTTTGTATATTCAAGTATTGTATATGACCGATCGATCCTAGAATTCAATCAATCGTGTGAATTAGATTGTTTGCAATATCTTTTAGATGCCGAAATGTTATCACATGTGATTACAGCAAGCGTTAATGCTGTATAGAAAAGGTCTTTCTTCTGACATTTAAATTGAACACTTTATTAGTAGCAGATTATAAACAAATGTTTATATATATAGGTGTGCGTATATATATTCATTCTTACACCTGTTTATTTATACTTTGCACCTCTGGAGATTAGTTTGTTTCTAATCTTGCCTACCAGTATATTTAGGTTAAGTTGAAGTATAACGATACAGGAGTGCGAATGCACCAATGACCTTTAACGTGTACCTTTCGTTGGATAACGGGACCACATGAACTGGTTAGTTCGTGTAGTCCCACTATCACAAATGGCACCTAAGTTGAAACTGAGTCCAATGTTAAATACCTTGGATTGGGTATTTCTTCTGATTTTTCTTGGTCTTCAGACATCATGTTAGTTTCTAGAAAGATATTTCGTTTAGCATTCTAAGTAAGGAAGTTAAGACAATCTGGTATCACTCGGTCAGTCTCTACAGTTACAGTTTGTTAATTCTTGTATTCTACCTATCCCCCTTTACTGCTCCCCGTTAATCTTTTCTGGACTAAAGAAAAACTTTGTTTGTTATACTGTGAACTGCACTAGAAGCTGTCGTCAGTAGGGCTAGTGGAGTGTTCCCAAGTCAACTGTATACAGAGATTAGCTTGAAATCCTATGAAAGCAACGGTTTTTGCGAAGAGAAGTAGCCAGAATTATTCGAATGTAATGATTATTTTAATGAATGCTTGACTGAATTCGACTCAATGTCCAATGTCAATCACGATTTCACTTGCAAAAAAGATTTCAACCTAATCTCTGTATACTGAAAGATACTGTAATTTCTCTAACACTTCCAATTCGCTTAATTTTTTGTTCGCCTAGTAATTTTACTTCTGTTTACTATTACTTTTCATTCCCATCCTCTCCTCTCTAACCTTCTATCACGGTACGCATAAAAAAACTCTGTTTGTTATTAGATTATTAACTATCTTTTATTCCCATCTCTTATTTCACCACTGTGTCATTTTGAGTTGAAACAATTTTTGAAGTATACTGTGTCATTTCGCATTAGTATTAACTTGTGTCAGTCTTTTAGACTGTTGTTAGCAGCTGATGATGAAAAGCCATGAAATAGGAAAAATATATGAGCTCTTTTTATTCTGCAAATATGTTCATTCCCTCTTTATTCAAACTAATCAGCGGGACTGGTTGTATATAGATTACAAAGCTGCTGGGAAAGCTAGAATAGATGGTAGAAGTTGATTAGTGAGATTTGCATAACCAATTGTTTTAGTGAGCTATTTGTTCTTTTTCTCTCACTGTCTCTACACTCTTCTTTCTGATATGATCTTCAAGCTGTTCCAACCGACAGACTACTCTATGCTTGTATGATATCTATAAAATGACAGAAAGTTGCCTAGGGAAGACTGTAAGATGTCTTCTTATGCACCTGCTACCGGTTTTTGATAAAAATAAGAACGACAAGAGAGTCAACTATCTTCATCACATGAAACTGTGCATACCGATTCACATGTGTGTATTTAGACAAATACATTGATTATGGGGAAAGGTGACTGTGATTGGTGTGTGTAGGCCTAGATGATAACCATGTCTGAATGGACACTAGTAAGTAACTAGTGTAATTTGTCTAGCCCTATCTTATCTCATCACCTTCATGCCGACTGCGTCCAACCATCTAATACCAACAAATCACAGTACACCATGATGGCGAGTCATCTAGCATGGTGGCCATATTGCAAACTTGATTGACGATAGAATTCAGTCTGCACCAAAAATAGGACTAGATACATTACACTAGTTACTGACTAGTGTTCAGTCGAAAATATACAGCAGAGTTCTACAGGAGGTTTAATGGGCCTGAACAGCTCAGTGGTAACGTCTCCGACTCCAGCACCGGGTGACGTGGGTTCGAATCTCAGAAGAGACATGAGTTCCTTCAGGGTTGCAGATACGCCTTGCTGACTGGTGAGTCCCAACAAGCACGAAACCTAAGTACAAGGCTTCTTGACGGTTGCCTCCAATCACCTGATATATATGTATAATTTTTTGCAAAGTCGTTTAGTAGAGCATTTCATGGCTTAAAATGTCGACATCGATTGTAGCTTCTCATCATATATATATATATATATAGGTCCTAGGTAGGGGGGAATTGTCAATCGATAAAGTTGTGAAGCTACATGGACTGATGTTACTAGGACATGTGTTATGTATGCCTAGTCATCGCCCTCCTCGACGGTCATTTTTAGTTGACATAGGATCGGGTTAGAAATTAGCTACTAGGTGGTCAAACCAAAACATGGAATCAGCCCACGGAATCTATAACAGTTAATTTCAGCCAGTCATGTGTAGGGAGGTATAGACTGCTTGTCTGGTTAGGGTCCTCGGGACTCTGAGAACCGCTAGCTAGAGACAATTGATGATTTGGCTCAAAATCGTTGTCAGTCGGTGCAGATGCATTCAGTCTTTTTGATCTACCATATCCATTAAAGCATGTTGTTTCCCCCTTGTTACTATCCTTTTTCCATCTGATTTCTCCTTATCACCGTTCTTTTCAATCACTTGCTTTCCTCCTTTGTCTTCTTTTGTATCGTACATGGAGTGTGGCACTTTTGTGCAAAGTCTTATTTTGAAACCAGTCAGTCAGTCAATTCATTCTGTATCTTCCAGAATTATCAACACTACATGATAATACGTGCTGCATTACAATCTCCCTTAAATTTTTCCCCCTATTTAAAATGCTCCTTATCAACGGCTGTTTTCTATTGACAAACTCCTTCTGTACATGGATATATTGTTGCAGTACTTTTAACTTGTTTAATTTTACTGTCAAAGTGCAAATGAAAAATGTTTACTACTTTCATTCATTTAAGTAGTTAGTTTACCTCAGTGTTTATGTCTAACAGCAGTACAAAATTATACAGTAGAAGACAGTATTATTTATTTCTATTTCTTTGAGTTCCCTGTGGAACATAGGGCTTCAAGCTAGAGCTTTGAAGTTTCGGTAGGAGTGGTATTCATTTTTATGGGATGGGGTTACCATCTTCTTGCCAAATCATTCCCTCTTTGCCGGGCTTATTATCGGCTTATCGAGGTAAAGGAGTGCGCCGGCGGCTGGGGATTGAACCCCGAACCACATATGACATGGTTGGCCAGCATTCTACCTCTGTGCTACCGACCGATACAAACTTGGCATGAGTGTCACGAAAAGCATTTCTAACAGGTTGCAGACACTTACCAACCACTGCCTTCGCTAATTCCATACTGAAGATCAGATTACTGGCCAGAAATGATTAACAATGAGAAACTCTGGGAACGAATCAATCAGGAAGCTATTGGTTAACAAATATTGACGAGAGTTGAAATGGATCGGACAATCACTTATTGGGTGGGCCCGTCGGGTGACGTTGCACACCAAGCTGTCGTTCGAGGGGGACCCAAATGGGACGTGTTTCTGAGGAGGGCATTGAAAAGATCATATGATGAAGAGGAGATGAGAGACTATGAGCAGTCATGAGATCAGTTGAAGATGACACAGATAATAGAACAAATTGGAGATGGTTTGCTGAAACCCTATGTTCAACTTGGAGCCTAAAGGAACAACAATAATAATAATACCTATATAAACTGCTGTCAAGATTTGACTGAATGGTTCCACAATAGTTTTCACCTATAGTGGTCATGATGAACAATCGTTTGATAATTAATTTTCAATCTCATTACTAAAAAAATGCTTTATTGTATTTCACACTTAATTAGCATTAACCTCATAGTATATTCTCCATTGTGTTTTCAAATTTATTTCTCTCAGGTTTGAAGTCAAGAATGCTCCGTATGCACCAACATTTAATGGAACTTGTTGACAGTAATATTACAATTATTCCATTATTTCAAGAGGACAATGAAAGTGAGAAAAATACGGGAAACGAAGAAAAACAACAGGTCGACCAGTCAACAATGTCTGTATATCAAACACGTTTAAGTATTTTAGGCGATTCTAGTCTATACAATTTAGAGGCTTCACGTAATAATGCCCGCCGTTTCAGAAGACGTTTAGGTCTACGTCACGACCCTGTTTCTACACATATTGCTGCGTCTACAGCAGCGACTGTAGGCAGCGGCTCATCAAAGCTCCAACGTCAGGCTTCATCACCAGCTCGTGTTTGTCTTACCTCGAAGTTTTCTGCAAAAATTGCTCCCCACTCGCCTAGTTCTCCTGGTGTTGGCGATACTCGAACACCTAATTCTGTTTCATTTGGTTCAATGGTTTGCAGTCTACTGAAACAAAAAGATGGAACTTACGTTTCTGTGAAACCAAGAGTATCGTCTTTGTGTGGTGGCTCTAAACCGCTGTTCAGTGAAGCATTATTACTATCTGAGAATTCTTGTAGTGGTTTCAAACGCGTACGTATTGCTTCGGTGGGCAAAGAAGCTAGTGCGTCAGCCCTATCAGACTCGTCGTCTGTGAATAACGATTCAAAATCTAGTAAAGCGATACCCAAGGTAGATAAAAATCCAAGGGAATTATTAAAGTCGGCGAAACGCCATTCACGAAGTTTCATAAGCATGTTTTCACAACTTGATCTCCCACTGTCTAGTGTTTCGAATTCACCGTCTGTTACTCCGACAAATACCACCACGCCTGTAACACCTGCTGCCAGTGCTTCAATATGCTCACAAGACATACCAGAGATATTTGATTTTGATTCACTAATCGGTAACTCGGATCCCTTGAATGTCGGCGTGGATTATTTACAATTCTGGGATGAATCAGCTGCAGGTGCCGATGACAACAGTGTTGTAACAGATGTTGATGAGAAGTGCACTAGCAAAGACGACGAAATGATTACAGCAACTAAAATGGAATTATCAAGAATTGATAAACTATTTTTCCCTGATGAAATTGTTCATGAAACATACAATAGTGGTCAATTAGTTGTTCTGTTACGCTCAGAAGAGTAAGTGCACAATAATATGAGAATGGAACGGGGATCATACCCGTGACTTACTATTTAATATATATATATTTATATATATATATATTCAGCGAAGAGACTCTTTTCAACGAATTTATCGTCAAGCTGTACAATCATGTATACATGGTTTTTTAAGAAGTTATATCCGGTGAGGGAATTGAATCATAGGTGTGAATGCATGAGATAATAATAGTATGAAATGCAATTAAAACTAAAATGTTTTTGATTATAATCATAGTTAAATGTCAAAAGGCAAAACAATTAATGTCAAAAATGGAATAATTCATAGGATGGATAGAACTTGAAAAAGGGTGTGCAATTATAGGATTAGTAGACAAATCGAATAAAATAAAAACGTTACGTATTATTGTGTGAAATTTGATAACATAGAATTTAATGTTGCAAAACAGAATGATTCAGAATAACAAGTGAAATAATACTGGGGACAGTTCAAAGTGAGAATAGTAATGGTAACAATTGACGTAATAAAGGAAGAGAATACAAACTGAATAGACAAAATGAAAAAAATTGGTAGAGCCAAAATATGGTTAGGGATTACCATACTTTAGCATAGAGGGACTAAGACCATGAAAGTTGGAGGAGTTGAACGAATTTTTTCTGTACACAGAGATCTAGCTTTTCTGTTTCGATAGCCAAAGCTTCAGCAATACAGATGAGTCGGGTATGTAGTGATTTCGGTAAATAACGTTTTGCCTTGTAGATGACTTTAAAGGCGGAGGCTATGGAGATAGGGTGATCACTATCGACCAGACGTTCACTGATCGCGCTTCTTATTGCTCCACTTCCACCTCTTCGTAACCATGCAGGATAGTGTTCTTGCACCCTCTTGGACAAAACTTGAGTCGGACGACTGATATACCTAGCTCCACACGAGCAGGTGAATTAATAAACACACATAGATTCGGTGAACAGCGGGATCTTGACCTTCAGGTTATTGAACAGTAATGGTCGACTGGTAAAGGCTATTCTCATAGATGCAGCAGGGAATGTTCTTTTCAGAGACTGTGATATCCTTCTTTTCATGATATCGGAAGCTAAGTCCCCTTTGAATTACAAGCTCATGTACAGTATGTTTTTGGGTGTGGATGATAAGTCATGTTTTATAGGATTTGAATGCATTTTCTTGTCTATAAAACGGGGAAAATCCATTTTCTATTAGGTTTTTCATCAAAAGATATTACTCATCCTCCACAGTATCAGGGCTACATGTGCGCCGAATGCGAGTGGCAAACATTTTAGTTTTAATTGCATTTCATACCATTATTATTATTTTATGCATTCACACCTATGATTCAATTCCCTCACCGGATATGACTTCTTAAAAAAATCAAATATATACTATTGTACAGCTTGATAATAAATTCATTGAAAAGAGTCTCTTCGCTGAATCACTTGTTTTGATTTTTTATATGAATATATGTCGTAAAGTTTTTCAGTTAAAAAGTTCCCATACGTGTTCCTCAGTTTTTTTTGTGCTTGTACTTGTTTGCCTTGGTGAACCAGTAGTTTTTTAATTCCACTATAGAGAAATATGCAACTACTAAGAGGCCTAAACTTACCTATCTATACTCTGTCTGGGTTGTAGATCAAGTTTTCCCAAATTTGATGTTGATTGCTCGTGCAGAATAAAAACTTAATTGCCGATATATCAGGAAGCTTAAGATTGAGTTCTGTTTAGACAGTATCGTTTCAAATACAGGCGACAGCACCGATGAGGATACGAAAACAGACGAAAATCGGAAAGGCATGACAAATATTCATCACTCTGAAATTCATCACTCGATTCTTCCATATGGGTAGGACACCTGATGTGCGCGTCACAAAAAGCATTTCTAACGGATGACTGCAAACGTTTATCAACAGATGGCATTACTAGCTGCATACTGGAGATCGGATGGTCCGTTGGAAAGGATGAGCAACAAGAAACCAGTCAAAAACATATTACCCAAAATGATGACGAAGAAAATAGGAATTGATCAGATACTCGCTGGGGAGACATTCGAATGACATTGCGTTCAGTGTAAGCCATCGCTCGAGTAAATCATGAATAGGTAACGATGTGTCGGGTGTGAGTCCGTGAGCGACACGGGGGAGATCGAGTGAAGAGGAGATGACGGTTTATGGGCGGTAGTGCAGCCCAGTAAAGAGGGCTGCAGAGAAGGGGATGAAACGGAGATGTTCTGTTGAAGCCCCATGTTCTACTTGGACCCAAGGGAATAATAATAAGATTGAGTTGTTTGACTGATTGATGTAGACTTCAGCTTTAAGTTTTCTCCAATTTTATACATTGTTGTCTAATTATTTACTGGTGTTATTAATAAATATTAAATGTAGGTTGTTGATTTACTTCATTCCATATATTATGAACATTTTTGTCCTACAAGTTTGTCATCGTCCTGGATTTCAGATTGATGTATTTCTGTCAGCACTATGGGATTCTGTCATACACTGTCCTTTTGAAGTTGTTGTTTATTGGAAGCGCTGCAATGATTGGCCTTGATGCATAATTTTTGGTCAGTGGTCACTGGGTAATGTCCAATGCCATGTGTCTAGAGTCCTTGGATTGTTGCAGCCTGAATTCGATCAGCAGTCACTTTTGCTGTGTGGTCATCATGCTAGGTAACTCGCAATCGCGGTGCACACTATAAATTGAAGTTAGATGACCAGAGGCAATCGTGAACCGGAATAACTCTGCGGTAATGTCTCTTATTACAGCACTAGGTGGGTTCGAATCTCAGAGGCGACGTGAGTTCCTTCACGATTGCTGAAGAGTGCTAAGAAGTGCGAAACCTTGGTCAAGCAGGGCTTCCCGTTGATGGTGTCTAATCATCTAGTTTTGATAATCTGTTTTTAAATATTGACTATTATTTGACAGTATTGTCTTTGATAACTATTTTAGGTGTTCACCTATGTTTGGAATAATTTGTTATCCGTTACATGATCAGTAGTCACTGTGTTTATGATTTATTTGACGCCTAGAGATAACTTCTACTGTCATTAGATTTATGTTCAAGGCTTATTGTGTTGTTTCTTTTGCACTGTTGGGATGAAACCCTTTGCATCTATCCAGCTGTCAAGTCTTTCACCTGTTAAATCAAGGGGAAGGGGAATCCTTGTTTCACTTTTCGATGGTTGTGTACTGGGATGTTATAGTAACTCCCATGCTGTGTAGTACTAGGTCTCAATGTCTCTGTTCATTACATGAGTATCACACGTGTACTGATGAAGAGTCCTGAACTAGGACGAAACAACCTGCTATTCAGTACTCCCTGTTGGTTTCCCAATGGTTCTCTAACTGATGTCAGCTAGGGATCAAACCTGTAACCAATCGAATCTCTGCAAACCGACAATTAATAATTAACCTTATGCTCACTAGCTATTGGCTCTATACTGGGGTTCCAGTAAGAGGTCGTAACCAGTGGGCTCGGTGAAGTAATGTAAGAGGATGGTGGTTGCGCTATATATATTGAGAATTGAAGGAAGTTGGAATTCACAGCCTGCCAGTGGATTGATTGAATGGTCTACGAGCTTGCCTTGTAATGGAAAGGTCCTTGATTCGGACCTCAGTGGGTCAGTATTGAGGAAGGCTCCCAAATTAGGACGAAACAAATGTCCAGTACTCCTGGTTTTCGGATGATTCTTTAACTGATGTCAGATCGGGACCAAGCCCTTAACCAATCAAATCCCTGCGAACCATCACATGAGTTTTTTTCTAGTCGTTGGTTTATTACCATCTTTCATACTCTGTACTGTACTATTGAATAAGATTTATTTACTCATGTACTTTGTGTTCTTTATTTTTTCTCCCTCTTCTAAAGTGATGATTCACGACCAGAAATGGCAGCTGAACGACTTAGTATTGTACGCAAGTACATGTTAACTTTATCTGAGAAATTATTAGAAAAATTACAATATCAAACAAATCTATCTCTAGAGAAAGAAGAATATTCATCAAGTATAATTGATAAAATTGGACCAATAGATGGATTGAGTCGAATCAAGAAAATAGTTGTGCAAATATGGGATGCGTTTAAAACAGATCAATACAATAACAATACAATGAATGTAACGTTGAATAAGTTATTTGTCGCTTTTAAGCAGTTATCAGTTATATTAAATGAAGGTGAACAAACAATTACAGCTTATGAGTTGACTACCAGTGGTTTGATTCAAGTTCTACTGCTATGTCTGTCAGTTGCTCATGCTGGTCGTTGGCGTTGTCATGTAAGTGCTTTTTTGATAAAATTGCCAAGGTATGTTATACTTTTTTTAATTCATTAGTTGGGGGGGTCAACTTGATCTTATCTTGCAATCCAGTTCAGTTAGATACCTGACAATAAAGGTGGGTGTTGATGAAGGGAGCTTCATGTCCTTTTAGAAGTGTGTGGTTGTTACTTCCCGGCTGCCTACACTGTGGAGGTTGATTTTTTCCTGAGGTAGCTGAGACACGAAGAGTATATTAGTGGTGTGTGACCACAGAGTCCAGGGGATAACTGTCCGAGACTTGTCTGAATTGGTTTTTAGAGTTTTTTCTGTATTAGTAACTCACCACTTGCCACTCACCACTGTGGGGGTAAATCGGAGTGTACATTTTTGGGGGTCAATCTTTTCTACCCCCTACCTCTCCTGAATGGAGAGGCAGCGTAGCTGGCATGCTGGTCATCTGAAAGAAATATCTTACTGTTGTTACATGCCTGGTCGTCGGCAGTACAGCTTTACCCACAGACCCCCACCATAGTGTAAACATCTTAGATTATTCCGGTAACTTCTTTTAGTCTGATCGTTATCATTGTGATATGCAAGCCTGGCCACCACGTCAAAGTAGCAGCTATCTATGGCGGGAACACTTGGCGATATGTGAGGTAGTCCGTATAAGCCATATTTTTTGACACCCCTGAACTTTGTGACATTTTGTTCGTACTGAGGCATTTTTTGAATGTGTAAACCAAATGGTTGAGTGTGTGACATTTGAATGAAGGAAACATTTACATCAAAAATACTTTATAGGGGCTTTGAACAAGTTGAATATGTATTTGACTCATATGGACGACAAAATGATTTATAAACCAGATAAGTAAATTATTGTGTTTAAAAGTTCTCTTTGCTTCACTAAACTCTTATTATGTGACTGATGAAAAAGTAAGACCTTAAAATCTGTTAGCATTTTAGCTATAATTTGCTGTGTGAATAGCAGAACTTCCTAATGAAGATTGCTTAAATTGACTGATTTTCTCCAAACAGGGCATGTTATCCGGCTATCGATCAAACGACTGCATAGTAGCAGCTCTCTCTGTCTTCCGTTATGGCTGTGAGACATGGCTATTGAGAGTGGAAGACATGAAAAGGCCGGCTAGCTGCCTTTGATCATAGGTGTCTGCGTTCTATCTCCCGTGTGAAGTGGTATAATAAGGTGAACAAAATTGAGTTTAGGCACCGGTCGAGTGTTAGGTAAGGAGGGGAAATCAATCGACGAGTCTGTGAAGTTACATCGATTGAGATGGTTAGGACATGTGCTACGTATGTCTAGTCATCTGTGACAACTGTGATAACAACCAGTGGTGTCCGTCAAGGATGCCCACTATCCCTATTTCTTTTTAATTTCATCATAGATATACTGATGGACTTAACCGTAACTGACTTCAGCGACTCAAGGATTGGCTTGTTACCGTCAGGGAATAATCTCGACTTAGAATATGAGGACCATATAATCCTCCTAGGTGAAGACGCTGACAAAATGCAGAGTGTTCTGAATACCTTGAGCTGCATTCTGCGAATGTTTGGCATGCGACTTGCTCTAGATGTAAGATGATGCTTCAGGACTGGACCACATTGACTCCGAGCTTAGGCATAAGGAGTGAAGTGGTAGCTGGGCGTGTTGACCACTTCACTTATTCGGGAAGTTGTATCAACCAGTGCAGAAGGTTGATCGCTGACGAAATCTCTGCATAGATGATACAGAAAGCTCGTTTCGCATGTGCCGATTTACTCCATCTCTGGCGTATACGTAATATCCGGTTGGCTGTCGACCAAAGGGCTTGCGTACTGCTCAGCAGTCCGCTCTATCCTCCTGTCTGGTTGTGAGTAAGACGTGGCCGCTGAGAGTGGAAGATACGAAAAGGTTTGCTAACCGTCTTTGATAATAGGTGCCTGCGTTCTATCTCCCATGTTAAGTGGTATAATAAGGTGAGGAGTATTGAGCTTAAGCGTCGAGTGCTAGGCAAGGACAGGAAATCAGTCGACGAGATTGTGAATTTACATCGATTGAAATGGTCGGGACATGTGTTAAGTATGTCTGGCCATCACCTTCATCGACGGTCTTTGTTAGTCGACTTATGCATGATCATTTCGGAAAAGAGCTAGTGGTGGTCAAATCGAAACTTGGAATCAGTCCATGAAATCATTGACAGTCAGTTTGAACTATCCACATGGGGAGCTGTAGACTATTTGGCTGGTCGGGGTCCTTGAGATGCTAAGAACCAATGAAGACTAGAGACAAATGTTGATATGACTGAAAAGGCAGGTAATTTCCCAGTGACCTTGAGAATTGTCATTCATTCATGACTAGTGAGAGAAGTCCTGATATTGAGTTTTCCTTATTGTGTATTATAATACTATGAGACGAATTATCTGTATAGTCTTGGACGTTTTAGGGGTGTACTACTTATTTATTTAATGAGTTGGGAATTCTCGCTATTTAGTTAAACGAAAGTTGACATTCGAGATGATTCCTATGAACTTGTTTTACTGAAATTAGATGATACTGTAAATACCTTAATTTTTTTGCCATTTCATTTTTTCTAGACATTCTCTGTGAAATTAGACAGAACAACAGCTTTATTATGGTATCTTCAAGAGAGACGACGTGTATTCGTACAAAACATGTTATCCCGTTCCAAGTCCAGAAGTATATCACTCCTTGTAAGGCGACTGGTGCAGGCTTTTGAACTAACGGAGCATCTTCCACTGAGATTGTTTTCTGCAGCCCACTTTTCAAGATCTTCAACAACGTCGAATACTTCAGAACAGGCGTCTTCAGATCGTACTGTTGTCAATAGTGATGCAATTGTTAACAAGAAATCAGAACACCATCCATCATCTATAGTGGATAAAATCGGTTATGCTGCATCGCTACCAATTAATTTTATCAATAGTTCTTTCAATCGTTGTCAATTAACAGTCTGTACTGACAGTGGAGATTCTGTATCCATCAATGTGAAACAACCTTTTCAAGATAGCATGGATGCTAAAGAGTTATCAGCTTTGCTACGTTTTTGTCCTGTTCTCCTGGATTTCCCAGAATTTGATTCATGCGTGCCCAGTTTACATCAAATCGCTAAGCGTTTATCTGTATACTTGGATAAATTGCCGAAACCACCAAGCGATGATGAGTCTGGCGGTAAATCGTGTGATAATGACTCCAGACGACTGTACAACTGGCGTGGTAAAGCACTTTTTGTCAGTCCATTGGCAACTGTAAATCAGTTAGAACGATTTCTCAGTCGTATGTCGACAAAACAATGGTAAGTTGTAAAAAACTACTTGTGACTTGGAGTTTTGTATAGTTTTTTATTTCAGAAACTCATAACTGTGCACAATTACTTTTAAAACTCCAGTTGTTAAGTTTCTTGATCTGTTTTTCTTTGATTTTGCTAAACTCAGTCATTAACACCACTTGATTTAAGAGATCAAGTCGCATTTCTTCGGAGGGTTAATAATTTTTTCAGGGGGAAGGGGTCCATTCTGTTGGGAGTGTGGGGGGGGGGAACAAATACTCGCCGTTGACACTGGTTAGTGATTGCGCTAAAATCTCGAATTCGTAAAAGTTAGAAATCATAGGCAATTGAGTCGGGTCCCATTGGCTGAATGGTCTACGAGTTCGACTTGCAACTGTAAGGTCCTGGGTTCGAACCGCAGTGGGTGAGTACTTCCGATGAGTCCCAAACTAGGACGAAACAGTCGTCCAGCACTCTCGTATGGTTCCAATGGCTCTCTAACTGACATCGACCTGTGATCAGACTTGAAACAAATGAAATCCATACAAACGAATTCTGGAAAAATGAAATAGTTTGTTGTAACATACTTAGGATCTTTATTATGTTCAACAACATCCAAATCCAGTCATCAAGCAATGATCTTTTTTTGATTATAGCTTGATTCCACACCGTATTTTTGGTACAAGTATGGCATTTTCAGCATGCGAAATTGGTAGCTCAAATTTCTCAGGCCGACCAATTTATATTAGGTGTGCGTTGGCAGGGGATCGAACCCTGGAACATGTGCATAGTCGGCGAGAGTCCTAACCGCTGTGCTGCCAATCTCAAACAGAGAGCAAAGCACATGTTGGTAGGCTGATCACGCAAGTGTCGGATGCTAATAAGAAGGAGGACTCAACGTAAAAGACTATATTTTCAACCAACCCTATTACAGATAAGTGAGAGAGAGGAAGAATCTTACTATTAATCGCCCGTCGCGTCGTCTTGGGGCACAAATCAATGCATTACTTGCAGTCATCCTTAAATCAGACAAGCCTACACTTTAGGCATAAGGAAACCGTCTAACTTGCCTTACATAATAATGTTTTAAATGACTTGGACGAATTCCAGAGTTTTTTGTAGAATCTCACTAATAATACTGCGCTAGACTCATGGATTCGATTAGAAAATAATGATTATGTAGGAAAATGTGCGTATATCAGCTCAGCTCTTTATTTCCTACCTCCGGTTACACTTTTCACCTGGGTTTATTTTTACGGTCTTATTTTCATTGATTTTTTTCAACATTTCGGAAGAAAACTTTAGTGATCACAGGTTTTAAATCACTTGCTGTTGTTGTAAATTGGATCCTCTTTCCTATCCTATCACATCATTTGTTTATGCGATGCTCTTTGTGGTTCACCTTGTTCTGTACATATTCTTAAGGGTATTAAATTGCTCACTGTCATACAGTGTCGTTGTTTTTGCCCAGCATCTATAGTTACCTAATTGTTTGTTGAATATTGAGGATTATTCATACCGAACTAAAGTAATCGATCTCTGTAGACATCATGAGGTAGTTGTTTCAGTGTAGTTAATGATGGTTTGGCATTCGTCATGATGGTTGGTGTATTCGTGTTGCAGTGAAAGTTGTTATCAACAGCTGCCTTCTTTGGTTCTATGCTGAAGCTCAGATGACTACAAAGAATTTTCAACACGTAACCAAGAATCTATACTGCTCAACAAATATGCAAAAGAAAGTGGAGTTGGTTTGGACACATGCTTACGAGATCGTCGAGTGAAATCTCGTGCAATGTAGGCCATCGCTCTCGAGTAGAACCCGAATGGGTAATAGCAAGTTGGAGAGTGACATGGAGGAGTTCGTGGGAGGAGCAGATGAAATCTTATGGGCAATCATGGGGCCAGCTAAAGAGGGCCGTAGAAAACAGGATGAAATAGTGATGTCCCGTTGAAGCTCTATGTTTCACTCGGAACCCAAGGGAATAATAGTAAGTTAAAGCATCACAACTCACTAAAATGCAGTTTTAGTTAGGTCACGATTCCCAGACAGGAGAAAACAGTCATTTTGAATTTCGTTCCTATTCACCGTCTATCAAATATTGTTATATGCGGGTTTAGTGTACGATAAGAATTAGGAAATTATACGAATATATTTTTTTGAGAGATAGACTGCCTATTTTACTGTTGGTTTTTATGTGGTTGGAATGATATGTAGAAATATAAACAATCTATTATCCTTCATTGGTATTAGGATGATCATGGCCAGTCTGAAAATAGACCAATCAAAATTAGCCTCCGTGAAATAAAACGCCTACTATTTTATTGACCATGATTATAGATTAATTGACATATTCCTGGTGTTATTTTGAAGTATACATTAGTGTGTGTTTGTGTGGCTTACACGGAAATATACTTCTCAGCTCACGTCGTAATGTGTTCTCGCCTAAATAGAGCTGGCCAGGGAACAGTTACCTATTGTATCGTGTTGTTGGCGTAGTCAAGCGGTATTTGCGCTCAACGCGTCTGTGTTCAACTCGTCGTCCCTATTTAAACTCAAACTCAGTTTTTGATTGTTTCCCTCTTACCTTTTGGTTCTCTTTGCATAGATTTCCACACGTTTATTTTACTTATGTTTCCCTTTTTTCAGGTATGAATGTCCTCGTGCTGATCTACCTCTCTGGAGTCAAATTCGTTTCGCGAATAATTTCAACTCCAGTGGCTTGTGTTTTCCTGCCCCACCACCTGGGAATAGTTCAGCTGATTATTTAGGCGGTGTAATCGACTGGCTTGCAACTAATGGTAATCGTCATCCATTGGAAGATTGGGTTAATCCAGCTATGGTTGGACTTGTGAGTATAGCTGCCTCGACAAGTAATCCTGTGAAAGGTAGACCTGTGTCAATTTTAGGACCTCAAGCTGGAGCTTTAGTTGGCGGTTATACAATTCGTGGCAGTGGTATAGGCGTTGTCGTTAAACCGAAACGTGTGAATTGTCCAAGTGGAAATAATCAAACTGAAAATCGAAATAAAAAGAATGCAACAGAACAAAAGTCGGATCATACGAGTACTACTACTGCTACTACTGGTGCTGCTGCAGCTGACAGTGTGCAAACGGTTACAGAAAATGAAACACACGCTTGGATTGCTATTGATTTAGGTTTACAGTTAGTACCGACTGCGTATACTTTGGCGTATCTTAGACGAGCTGATGCATCGGAACATTCACTTGCCTTACGAAATTGGAAATTAGAGGTTAGTTATTGTCTATGTTTATTTATTTAATTTTGTCTTATATTATTTATGAAGAAGACAGCTATGAAATTTTGTCTTGTTGATTTCTCAGAAAATTGGCCTCTTGCTCACAAGTAACCACCGGCTATAGGACGAAGTTGCCTGGGGTTCTAGTGAAAAGTTTTGACCTGTAAGTAGTAGGGTTCACCCGGTCGGGAGGGAGGATAAATACTCGCTAAAGATATATTAGCTAGTGGGGTCTCTCTGAAATCACGAATTGGTAGAAGTTAGAATTCATGGACTGGTCATTGAATCGGCACAAAGTGGCTGAATGGTCTGCGAGCTTGACTTTTAACTGGAATGTTCTGGGTGTGTACTTCTCGAGAGGGCGAGACAGCTACCTGTTCAGTACTCTGTATTGATTTTCAATGGTTCTCTAACTGATATCAATCCGTGGTCAATTTTGTAGATTGAAATCCTGACAAAATTAACTCAGAAAAGATATAGCTTCATTGAACATCAAGTCTGTCAAACAGAGCCTTCGTTCAGGTTTAATGAGTGTACAGAATCGAGTTCGAGTGGACACACTGCATGCAACAGACAAAGGTTGACGAAAGAGAGAGAGAGAGAAGTAGATTCGACAGAACCATAACAAGCAGAAAATTAAGGTAGAAACAGTGGTAAGATGGAATAACAATATGGTTTAATTGATACGGTGGATAGCAAAAAGCGAATGCACCTTCGCCATTGAGAATTATTTCGAGCCATATCACCAGTAATTGTCTGTCTCCAGCCGTTGTTTCTCATAATCTGGAGGACTTCGAACAGCCAAGCAGTCTACACTTCTCTACGTGGCTGGCTCAAACTACATGTAAAAGATTTCATGGACTGACTCCCTGTGTTTTGGTTCGACCACCACCATCACTAGTTCTTTTCCAACCTGATCCTACCTATGTCACCTAACATCTCACACTAAACTTACGAAGATTACTGGTCAAGATGTTCAGAAGATTCAGCATTTTGTCAGCGTCTTCATCTAGGAGAAGGACGATATCATCCGCATATTCTAAGTCAAAGAGATTATTCCCTGATGGTAACAAGCCAATCCCTAAGTTGCTGAAGTCATACAGAGTCAGTTCCATTAATACATCCATGATGAAACTAAACAGAAATGGGGATAGTGGGCATCCGTGACGGACACCACTGGTTGTCATGACTTTAGATGACAACTATTCGTAATAGGAAAGATGGACCGTAGGTTTGAGGCAAATCAGTAAGAGATAAAGTTGTAAAGAAAAGAAGCGTATATAGTGAATAATTACCATCAGTTCTTGTTAGTATCGTCAACTGTCTCTAACCTTACTAATGCTCAGTTGTTAGGCGAATGGATTTTCAATGACGGCGTAGATTTTAGTGTTAGACTACTACTGTTCGTTTAAAACGCAAACTGTGTGTAATATGGGCATGCAGAGATAATAATACAACAATGTATGAAAAAACAGGCAGAGAATCAATGAGAAACGTCATCCAAAAAGCAAGCAAGCAAGCATATTAGTCGAAATCATTTAACATTCAGTATTTCGCTGTACCTTCTGAAAAAGAAGGAAGAAGGAATTTTCAGTATATTCGCTATTGGTTGAGATTCCTTGCCATATCTGATCACGTTTCGAGCCACCGATTTGAACTATCTTTTGGGGTCTCAACCAGGGAGTCTTGGTGTACCAACTGATGCTAACCAATCACGAATATCCTTCATCCCACGACTCTACGTTACTGGGCTCACCACCTCCGCTTTTTCCTTCCAGTCCCAGCTCTAACGAACAGACAGAGGCAGATATGCAAGCCTCTGTGATGACATTCATAGCACATATCCAGGCCACGGAAACCGGCGTTTCCAGATGCTGACAATCAATGTGTGGTGGTGTCTACCGTACCAAAACACACACTACTGGACCTCCGAATTACTCTCACGATGGTGGTATTGGACGCAATCAATTCTACAGAGACAACGATGATGAAATCCTAAGAGTTGTCTCATATCCTCAGGTTTAACAAGAGTGGAGCAAGACTACGCACACCGAAGCACTGTGAACCCGACCTTTGACAGGCAGGCTGGCGTTGCGAATTCAACAGTCAAGATTTAAAATATTAGAGTCAAGAAAATCCAAAATTTGATGAAGAAAGTTATAAAAGTTACAAACATTTTTGAAACTTGACGTGCACCATTTCTTCTTCACATTAAATAATTTTTTGTTTTTGATTCATTACTCAACTAGGCTTCAAATGACGCAATATCTTGGACTGTTCTACGCGAACATAATAATGATCTAAGTATTCATTCTGTATCCGGTAGTCGTGCCACCTGGAGTATACCAAACTGTGATACGAATCATGACACTGCGCCTGAAACCTTATCTTCTACATCGAATACATCAGCGTCTGTAAATAAGGTGAAAGGATGGCGATTCTTTAAAATCCAGGTGACGGGACCGAATGCAAATGGAGGGAAACAACTGGCTCTTGGAGGTCTAGAATTTTACGGCAATGTTTACACTGTACATAATTCTGTAAGTTAGATTCTTTTTTAACGTTTGTAGTGTTTCAGATGAATATTGATTGTATCCTCCTTACTTGTACTTATTCTCGGTGTCGTTTAAAAAGTTTTATCTCTAGATTCCTGTTAGGATTTTAAAGCTGTGACACAAATCAGTTATTATTATAGGTAGAATGATTATTTTGCGTGAAACTATATACTACTGATTGGCTGAGACGAGTAGTTGTATACTACCACTCATATCAACCAGTAGTGCTTGCTAGGCAGTCAAATCGAGGTAATCTAAACACTGGACGGGCGTTTCGCTCCTTTGGAGCCGATTGCATCAGCAGTGTACCCGGTTTTACTGAGATTGGAGAGCTGAATCAGTTGAAACCACATCCGATTTTTTCCTGATTAGCTACTTGGTTGAACTGGTATCACAATCAGATCACATATTGTGTGTGTGTGATCTGAATAACTTGGTTGCCAAAGGAAACTACAGTGAAATTTCATTAGTTGAATTGTGAATTCGATATATGTAGAATGATAATATGTACACTAAAAAAAATAGTTCAATTGATTTTCTGTCAACCTTCACTTTTACACAGACCATCGTCAAGCTGAACTGTACTTGTTGTCTTCATATACTCTTCCTGGAGGTTAAGGACACGTCTAGCTGATTATTGTCGAGCTGCACATTGTACCTGGATCCAGGAGTTGCCTCCAGCGACCCAGATTGCATGCATACGATTTATTTCACAGCTGTCAAATTCTTGAAATGACCGCCATAATTGATTCTTGGAATGTGTACTAAGAAAAAAAAACACCCTTAACAGTCCTTAATTAATGTAGATGTCGTAAATCAGCTCCAGCGGTAAAAATCAGTACCTGATCGTTTTATTGTACTAGTTATGCATCATTATTATGCCAACCTTAAAGACAAGCGAATTACTGGTGATAATAGATACAGAGGGGGCGGAACATCGAGAGAAGCTATGAGGATAAAACTTGGTCATTATGGTAGAGTATAATGCCATTATGAATAAAATTTATTTTGATGAAGTCTCACAGTGTTCTACACTAATATTTACTGATGACAATGTTTCGAGCACAATTTATTGCCACTCATAATCATATTAAGGTACTCACACAACTTTCCGAATTCGTTTATATCATTCCATTATTCCTCATCTCTCGATTTGATTGGTAGTAATATGTTGCCATTTCTCTGGTACTAGTGATGAGTCTTTCCTGCTGCATATGTTGGGTGTAGATCCAATGAACAAAGATTCAGCGATCAATCTCCTTTTCGGTCTACATTTTGGAATTTTAACTCTTTCTCACCCTATTGTGTGATTGTGTGTTAATGCATGCAGTGCAACTGCTGAGTTACTCATCTTCATGGGGTCATTCATTCTAACCTTAGCTAAGTTCTTATGTTCTGACAGTCTGAATACCCCCGTTCTTTTACTTTGATCTACGTAGTTGACCTCATATTTATTGTAAGGTATTTTGTAAATTATATAATTATAAGAACAAAAACGTTCAACCAAGAGTCTCTTTCCGGCGAATTCATTCACTTAGCTGTACATTCTCATTTATATATAATTATTTTGTGTATGTGTGTGTACAATAGGATTATCAAACAAGAATAAAGTAAAATTAGTTAGGGTTACTGTTTTTTTTCCTTCGCGTTCTCCAGTGGAACATAGGGCTTCAAGCTAGTGGCTTGAAGTTTCTGTAGCAGTGTTTATTTTACAGGATGGAGTTGCTAGCCTCATGCCCAACATTTCCTCTTCACCAGCATTAATTCTGGCTTAGCGAGGTAAAGGAGTGCATCGGCCGGGGATCGAACCCCGGACCATGTGCATGGTCGGCGAGCGTCCTAACAGCTATGCCACGACGCACCAAAATGTTTCAGAAATGTGATGAATAACCAAAATTGTAACTAGGGGGGATGAAGACTGGTAAGTATTGACAAGGGTTGCTTAATATGAAATAGGGTGTTAATGGAAACACGTGCCCAAAAAATAAATAGATAGAAAGATTGAATAAAACGTTGGTTAAGAAGAAGATGTTACTAAGATGCCATACAAAATTCAAAAACCAAAACAAAAAGAAACGAAAACAAAACATTATAAACAAAGTCGTAGAAGTTAGAATTATACTCAGGGTAGAAGAAGGGGGTGGAGAAGTTTCTTCAGTGTGCATCAATCAGGGTTTTCTATCCGGATAGATAAGGTCTTGGCAATGCACAGTATACGGAAGCTTACCGTTTTCGGGAGGCTACTTTTGATTTTGCAATAATGTTTTAGGTTCAGTAACTGAAAAGACGTCTTTTCTATGCAAAGTTTGGGAATTAACATATCTCGATTACCATGGCTTTGGAAACATTCCTTTTGTTGCTAAAAAGAAAAGAATAACTTGATTCTTATTTTCAAAATTTCATAATTATATTTATTTCGCTTATCTTTTGTTGTTGTTTGTTTTTTCTTCTCTAACAGATATTAACTTCTAGTGCTATCGCACAAAAAATCTATTCATCAAATTCACTAAATGAAAAGAAAGACATTTCATCAGCAGCACCAACACCACCACCACCACCAAAACAATCATTATTGTCACTTGTCAAATCTACTAATCCTAATCAAGTTGGCGTAATTCATCGTACTAAAGATTGTGCTACTTCTAGCACTACCACCACTACTACTACGACTACTACTACTGAAAAAAGTTCTGTTGTGGAGGGTGATATAGTTCAGAAGGTGTGTAGAAAATCACCTCCAAAGTCATCTTCACCACCACCACTGTCTAAGAATTCAAGTGTCAGTTGTCCAGATAACAGACAGATGGCTGGTTCATCAAAAGATAATCAAAAACAACAGCAATCCAGTAGTGGTACAGCAGCAACAACAACAAGAACAACAACGACTGATTGTAACAATAATAATAATCCACAATTATCATCGCAATCGAATATTTTCGATAGTAGTAATGAAGACAATGATGGTGTTGAAGACGAAGAAGAAGAAGGTGGACTAATTGGTGGTTCTGGTGTTCATCTTGATGATGATGACGATGGTAATGACGAAGAAGGAGGAGGAGGTGGAGGAGGGGAAGGACTGATTGGTGAAGGCGTTTTCCTCGATAATGATGATGAGGATGTTGATGATGATGACAATGATGATGGAGGTGATGAGCCCAACGATATTGACAACAGCAAAAATAACAATAAGGACAGTGATGACGACGATAATGATGATGATATGGATGCTGAAGACGATGGCGAAAATGCTGCGACTGATGAAGCAAATGCTGCACTAATGAATATTCTATTCAACGATGAAGAAGAAGAAATTGGTTCTTCTGATGATATCCTAATGATGGATAGGCATAAAAGAAGTGAACTGGATGATGACAATAATACCTTGAGATTATCGCATAGAAATTTAGACGATTTATCTAGTAGAGCAGTAAGAGTTCCGTTGTTTTTTCTCTATCCTATTGACATGCCTGCATGAATGTTTGTTGAGTTGAGTTGAAATTTTGTAACATTTTTTAGTGACAAATGTTTTAAAATGAGTACACAAAGGAAGGTATGCAAAAGGGTGATTTTGAATATTCTTATTAGTAATATTGATATGGTTTGGTTTGAAAGGGTTAGTTATGTTTTTACGAGTTGATCACGGATTGATATCAGTTAGAGAAGCAGTGAAAACCAACCAGGAAGTACTGGACAGTTGCTGTTTCATCCTAGTTTGGGAATCATCGGGAGTACGCACCCTCTGCCAAGATTCGAACCCAGGACCTTCCGGTTACAAGGCAAGCTGGCTCATATACCATTCAGCCACTGGCAGCCAACCCGATTCAATGGCCAGTCCATGAATTCTAACTTCTACCAATTCGTGATTTAGCACGATCCCAACCATTGTCGTTGGTGGGACATCCATCCACACACTTGACTGGATGGACGTCACTGGTCACGACTTCCCACTAGAACTCCAAGAAACTCCATCCAAACTATAGAAAATTAATCTGATGCTCGCTAGTGACTTGCTACAGGATGGAGTTTCTAGGAGTTCTAGTGAGAAATCGTGACCAGTGAGGTCCAATTAAATGTCACGTGTGTGGATGGATGTCCCACCAGCGACAATGGTTGGGGTCGCGCTAAATCACGAATTGGTAGAAGTTAGAATTCATGGACTGGCCATTGAATCGGGTTGGCTGCCAGTGGCTGAATGGTATACGAGTTAGCTTGCCTTGTAACCGGAAGGTCCTGGGTTCGAATCCTGGCAGTGGGTGCGTACTACCGATGATTCCCAAACTAGGATGAAATAGCAGCTGTCCACTACTCCAGTACTGGTTTTCAATGGTTCTCTAACTGATATCAATCTGTGATCAACTCGTTAAAAAATATTAATATGCTAAATTCCTAAACAGCACTTATGATACAGTATGGAATTCTCAGCATTTGGTACAATACTGTTGCATCTAATCTACTCAACAACAAAAAGAACATTACAGGGTTTATGTAGCCAGGAGTGATAATAGCAGGTTTTTGGTATTTGCATTGACAATAAAGACAAAAATATACAAAAGGCGCAAAATAATGATCAATAATGTGTTGATAGCTGATATTGTAAGACAGTTGGAATAGTGTCACCGTAAATGAAAAAAGAGCCAATTATTTCGCTAACTACATAGAGTCAGTCATAGGTTTCACACTTAACACTATCTCTTTTACATAGAACGCAGGTCAAATAGGGTATCTTTAAGTTTCTCTACCTGGTTGTTCGAGCACGTAATCTTTTACAGTGACTTGTTGTTCTACGTGATGAAATGGTCAAGGAAAGGGTTGCGGATAGAGAGGATGCTGAGAATCAGACAATGTGGATTTAGACCATTTCTCACATGACCTCAGGTGTCTGTCAACTATAGTAGTAACCCGATGATTGACTCAGTGGCACACTACTTGTCCTACTGACAGCCTTTAGTAGCCCTCGAAATATGACATCTTCCCTTTTTGAGTAACCCAGGGAAGACTAAGTAGGGGAGCATTAAATTACAATAGGTAAGATGGGGAGAGTTAGCAAATTGTCAAAGCAGACGTTGAGTGATACCTACCTGATTGTCTTAACTACCTAATGTAGTGGGTTAGAGGGTACATTTCTTTAGAAATCTACAAGATATGAGATGACAAAGGAATGCCAGAGGGAAGAACTGTCCCAAGGTATTCTATGCTTGATTTAGTTTCTGTTTCAGTGCCCTGTATGCTACAAGCATCTTGTGAACGAACAATTTCGTGTAGATCACGTTTATGTGTGAAGGTGAAGTGAACTGTCTGAAATGTGGAGGGATTTAAGCGTAAGACTATTTAACTTGAACCACTATCTGATGTCCGATTAGAAGCTGTTCAGTTTGAAACTGTCAGACCGACTAAGTAACTGCCGGCCATACAGTCAGATTTCTTCCGAAAGCGGTAAGTCTATATAAGAATAAAGAAAAAGTAAGGATAAAGAAAAAGAAAAAAAAAAGTGGGAGTGTTCAGTGGTTTTGAGATATTCCATGTTTACTGCATGCAACTCTATCTCTCTGTCATTTATCTGTGAGTGTACTTTTTATTTTTATTTTTTTTATCATAGCTTGATGCAAAAATCTTACAATGCGTTGATAGCCTTCTTGCTAACGACAAAGCATCTCCAGATCTATGTCGAATACTACGGCGAATTGCAGCTCAAGATTGTAAGTTAACATATGTAGGCCCTTTTTCTGTCGCTTAATTGAAATTTAAAAGGCTGATTTATGGACTAGGAATATTCTTCTCGATAACTTCTTTATCTTCAGGTTCTACATTTATATGACCAATAATAATTAAAGAAATATTCTTGTTAACAAGATTGATGCTGTTTCAAATTACACTGAGTCAACAGTCTCGATAGGTGATTACATTTCAGAAGCATCACTAGGAGAGAGAGATAATATGCATTAATATAACACCACTGAACTGACTGAATATCAGGTAAATTAAGAGAAGTTAAGACACTGAATTTATGAATTTACAGGTTCGACAGCAGGCCAATGTGGCGATAGTGACTGGCCGTACCTATTTCTTCTGATTGACTTAAACGAGTTCTGATAGCCTCTACTGTTTTAAGTATTCAGTATCTAGAGGCCTTCATTAACAGTTGTCTTCGCTCAATACTCAAGATCAGATGGCCGGCCAGAAAAGATCAGCGACAGAGATCTCTGGGAGTGAACCAAGCAGGAACCGATTGTGAAACAAAAAGGCAGGAAGAAATGGAGATGGATTGGCTGGCCATACTCTGAGGAAACCATCAAGTGACATCACTAGACAAGCCATTGCTCGAGTGGAACCCGAAAGGGATGTGGCGAGTTGGTCGTCAGTATGAGGGTGACTTGGAGGAGGTCATGTGAAGAGGAGATGAAAACGTGTGGGAAGACTTGGAGACAGGGAGGACTCTAGCAGAGAACCGAACGCAATGGAGACTCACGGCTGAAGCCCTATGTTCCTCTAGGAATTGAAGGAAACAATAATAATAATATACTAATAATCTAGAGGCCTTTGCTAATTTGTTCGATATCTGATATCTGATGGATGGAAACTCTTCAATGCCTGTTTGGAGACTAGGTGATCAAATATAAAATTGTTGACCATGCTGAAAACATTTTTATGAAATCACTCTGGTAGTTTTTACCGAACGGAAAAAAAATTAGGTTCCTAGAGCAACAGCCAGTCTAACTGGCTTGCAGGACTATTTGAATTGTTAGATACAATTACAGGTGACTACTAGCCTAGGTAGGTACCTCATCTTTCAGTTTCGGAATCACAACGGGTTGTACGGGAATTGTAAGTTACAACTTACGGGCATTGAGCGCTCTTTGGTTCGATTTTCTCAACTTGTTGGTTTCTTTTTCACTTGGTTAAATCACATTTGAATTGTGGTCGTATTTACAGAGGCTTCTTGTTAACAGATACCAAAGAATTCTTTCCTACTTACTTAGCCATATGTGCGTGTTTAGGGATGAACTAAACTATTAAGAGTAGCTGTTCTCGATTAATTTGTCGTATACACCCTGAAGTTCGTCTTCAATTGGGTCTTCTGATCAAATACCTCTGACCCTCCTATAGCTGATGGTCTTTATCAAATTTGTTTTATACCAGAGAGGAGTAAAGCTGTAAAAATGTGCATATTGACCAGTCTAAGTATTTTTTTTTGTGTGTTGAAATTCCTGTGCTTTGTGATTAAAAATAGGGCTTTGAGCCTTAAATTTTCAGTGGAAATGGTGTATGTTTTTTATGGACTGTTGTTATAAGCCTCATATACGAGCTTCCCTTTTTCACTGGGGCGAGTTCTAAGAGTGTGTCGGCCGAGAATCGAACCTCGGATCACGTGCGTACATGATTAGCCCGTAGCATCTCACCACTGAACTATCAACGCATACCCGCGTAGATGTGGTCACCATTTGTTTATCTGCTGACTAAATGGTAGTAATTTCTGTGTATTATGTCTTTTAATTTCCTGTATATCATCAATTGAGGTACTTTTGTTTTTAGTGAAAGTATTATCATCAGTGAAGTGTAGATTTTCACTACGAGACTTAAAATTAGACAAGTAGGTTCGATGTGTGATTCGGAAGTTTAACAGGAAGAACTGCCTACTTTTATTAGCTGTATAGCACAGTCTGGATTATGCGTCAGACTGTGAACAGGGAGTGAGAAGACAGGATTACGTTGGACCATCGATAAGAAGACTCTAGAAGATCTGAATTTTGCGTGTGGATGATTTATGTTGCATGTCACACAAACTCGAAGACTTGCAGACAGGCAAAAACCAACAAACCGACTGAGGAAGCAGCAAAGACAAGACTCTGGGTGAACACAGAGAAGACGGAGGTGATGAAGATAACCAACAGCTAGCACCAGTCACTATCAACGGGAGAAACTTGGAAGTTGTCATTTCCTTCACTCGTCTAAGAAGCGTTGTTTCAACCACAGGCGGAACAGATGAAGATGTCAAAGCCAGAATTGGAAAGGCAGTATACACCTTCATTAGGTTGAAGTCGGTTTGGATTTTCGGCACCAATGTTAAGTCAGTTAGTCACTTCTTCTATATGGGTCAGAAACTTTGTGCATCCCGAAATTCATTTCGAACAGGTAGCAAACTTTTATAAATAGCTGCCTTTGCTCAGTATTGAAAGAATTAGCAACAAGAAACTATGGGAACAAACTAAACAAGAACCTATCGTTCAACAGATATGTAGGAGAAAATAGAGATGGATTAGGCATACTTTAAGGAAGCCGTCGAGTGACATCGCGTGTAATGCAGGCTATCACTCGGATGGAATCCGAATAGAAAATGATGAGTGAGTCGTCCTAGGATGACATGGGGAAATCGTTTGGTGAGAAGGAGGAGGGGATAAGGGATTATGGGCAATCGTGTGCCCAGCTGAAGAGGACAGCGAAAGGTAGAACAAAGTGGAGATGTGCTGTTGAAGCCCTATGTTCGACTCGGAACCCAAGGGAATAATAATAATAGCATTGTTTAGCCAGTAAGCACGTTTCAACTATTGTATCATATTACTAATATGGTATCTATCTTCTACTTGTATTCATAAGTGCCAAACTATCTTGAATAAATTATCATCCCTTTGACTTTGTTTCCAGTTACAATTTCCACCTCCATTTCTTATTACCTGCCTATGCCTACTGGTATTTTCTTTTGACTCATAAACTTTTCTCTGGCTTTTTTTCCCCATTAGTAAATTTCAGTCTATCAAATAAGTCAACGTCGCGTAGTATGGATAGTATAAACGCCAGAGAGGAGTATAGTTCAACAATCACTGGCCTGTCAGATAATACAAAGAAGGTGAATTCCGAAGAGATTGACGTGACCGAGCCCTACTGTTTTATGGATCAGAGCAATACGGAATCAACTGAGTCAGGTGTAAGTAATACATGCATTCAATGGTTTAACAATGTGTTTTTTATTCTCCTGGGAAATGCATTGTATTGTTTATCCTTCTAACAAGATTTAGAATTGCGTTTCTCTGTAGATGATTTTATGTATGGTGTTTTGAAAAGTTACAGACTGATCAAAGGTTTTTGTTGTTTGTTCGCCTCTATACCTTTGACGAAAGCTGTTTTAACTGATTTGTGTGTGCGTGTTGTGTGTCAGACTAGCTAAAACAAAGAATCACGAGTTTGAGATTCATCTGATTGACCATCGTTTGCAATCCAACTCTATGTATAGTCCTCTGTTTCCGGTGCAAGCGCGTGATTCCTGAGTTAGGTGATGGTCGCCTAGCAAAATACATTTTTTTAGTATTGAACTAGTACATTCTTAGGGATGGTTACACCCTGTTTAGGTCTCTGTCCTCACAGATATGAATAATAATACGTAGAAAATGCGTTGGTGCTTTGGCGGTGGAATACTCACCAAAAAACCACGACTCATGTGGACCATGTGCCGATCTCCAGCCGAAGCCGGCAGTGAGCCTAGTAAATAGGGAAAGTTGAGCATGAAGTTAGTAACCCCACTGTGTAAAAAACACCACTGCCATTGAGACTTCAAATGTTGAACCTTGAAGTCATATGTTCCACTAGGAATAACACAGTGTTGTACAGTAATATTAACTGATGACCACGTTTCGAGCACAAACTATTGCTGCTCATAATCATATCAAGTTACTCACACAACTTTCTTTTTTCATTTATATACATGAGTGGAATTAATTAGACATTTGAATTAAAATCAATATAGGATAATGTTCATTCAGAATTAATAATATTAGTGTTATCAATCAAATACAATCAGACGGGAAATAAGACGAGTGTTTTTGTAGTCAAAATAAGTAACTTGTCAGAAAATAAGAATTTAGCTAACGTTAAGATGATTGATCCCACGAAGATAAGTAATTCAGAAAAAAAACTGAGCAATCGCACTGCATGCATTAACACACAACCACACAATAGGGTGGGACAGAGTCAAAATTCTAAAAAGTAATATATGTAGGTGGAGAGAAAGATTGATTACTGAATCCTGCCTGGTTCATTGAGTCTACACCCAACACATGCAATTGAAATGATTTGATGCAAATACCAGAGATATGGAAGATATTATTGCCACCAGTCAGTCAAATCAGAGGAGGATAATAAATAATCTTAAAATTCTGTTTCAATTCACATACATTATGACATTCTAACAAGTTACTTATTTTGACTATAAAAACACTCGTCTGATTGTATTTGATTGATAACGCTAATATTATTATTTCTGAATGTACATTATCTTATACTGATTTTTATTCAATTGTCTGATTATCAATTTCACTCATGTGTATAGATGAAGTAAAAAGTTGTGTGAGTGATTTGATATGATTATGAGTAGCAATAAATTGTGCTCGAAACGTGGTCATCAGTTAATATTACTGTACAATAACACTGTTTGATTTTATCAAAATAAAAATTTTATACTCTACCATAGTGCCCAAGTTTTATACTTATTTCCACTCAGAATGTATAGAATAAAGTCTTTCATGGTGAAGGCTCTGCAAAGTGAAGCGTTTTCTGAATACTTTTTGCAAAAATATAAGGATCTTTGACAGGAGATTCACATTGTCAAATGGAAAATGATATTCTGTAGGACTGGGCTTCACTGACTGTCAGTTTAGGCATACACAGGTTGAATCCGGCGCCACTACGGTAACTGTTCTTATAGTCGGGGTTGAAGGCCTCTTGCATCCAAACGAAATCCCATCAGTACCCTGATGTTTTGTTCTAAAAAGAAACTCTGCACAACCAACACTCTTGACGATGAAATAAGGAAAATTGGGGATGTATTATATGAGAACGGATATCCAGAAAGTCTTGATGATAAAATCAGATAGAGGGAGATGCTTGAAAAATATGCAGAAGAAACGTATATATTATGACTTTATCATCCAAAGGGGACACAGCCACTGAATTACTGGCTTCGAAAGTTTGGAAAATAATGGCTAAACATTCTTTGCCGCAAGTCTATGTTTAAAAGTCACCATGGTTGTGTAATTCCAATGCAAGTGAAGGATACGCCACTGAGTCTGACCATCTCAGTATGCATTTATAAATTTAACTGTTCTTGTGTTAAGAGACAGTTACATAGGTAGAACGACTTGGGAAGCCCACGGTCGCCTTGAACACTGGGTATTGGTCCGATGTGGTTAGGCAAAGCAAGGGAGTTGTATAGTCAATCAGGAGTTGTATATTGTCACATCTCGTGGATACGGATCACAAAACTGATAAAAAATTCCGACTTTACAAGTGTATACAAGGTTTCACCTAGATTCCTTAAGTTTACCAATTTTCTTTGATTACTAAGCAGAGTTGAGACAGTCTCCATAAAAAAGTTCTCAGACCAGTCTTTGTGTTCAGAAAAAGTTTGTTCAGTCTCTCTCTCTCCATTACATTGCCTTCAAACCTAACCTAGAATAGGTATCCCAGTGACACCGGATAACTGCAGCAGGTCGGGTGTGAGAACAAATACTCGCCGAAGACATTGGCTAGCGGTTGCGCTATATCGTGAATTGGCAGAAGTTAGAACTCATGGACTGGCCATTGGATCGGGTCCCAGTGGCTTAATGGTCTACGAGGTCGCCTTGTAACCAAAAGGTCCTGGGTTCGAACCCCGGTGGGTGCGTACTGCTGAAGAGTCCCAAACTAAGATGAAACAGCTGTCCAGTACTCCCAGGTTTTCTAATGGTTCTCTAACCAATGTCAGCTCATAATGAAATCCTGTAACCAATCAACCAAATCCCTACAAACCAATACTTGAATTTTTATGTTAATAGATATTGTATTAATTAATTCATTGTATTGCCTGAGTCATTGTGGCCACGCCTTTTTATATTTCATTAGTAATTCTGTGCTTACCACTTGCTTATTAATTAGGCAAAAATGAATTAACGGCTCAACTGGCATACCTTTTATGATTAGTCAGCTTAATAATATCAGTGGTATCGTTGATTCTGTAGTATTTGTTTACGTGGATGGATAACTAAGGCTAACATATACATACGAATGTGGAATATTGGAAGAACAGACTGTTTGTGTGAAATTTTAAACTGCGTGTATTAGCAAGTAGTTAACTAAAGCATAACATTTTCCAACCTAATTTCTGTCATATGTGACTAATACAGTAGACCTCAGTTAGTAAGCAGCATCCTGTAATTGTCAAATAGGTGGGTCGTTGTCATGCCAACCTTATCTAATGACTACTAAAGACAAATTTCCAACCAAGTATTATTATTATTGTTCCTTTGGGTTCTGCGTGGAACATGGGGCGTTAACAGAACATCTCCATTTTGTCCTATCCTCTGCAGTCCTCTCCAGCTGGATCCACGATTGCCCGTCAGATTTCATCTTATCCTCAGGTGATCTCCTTCATGTGTCGCCCTCGAAACAATGCAAAAATTGTCGTTTCTCATTCGACTCTCATTCAAACCATGGTCTGCATTGCACGAGAAGTCACTTGACAGTCTTCTCAGTGTGTATCTGATCCATTTTCACTTTCTTCCACATATTTGCTGACCAATAGAGGTTCTTTATTGGTACGTTAGTTGCCAGAGGTTCTTGTTGCCAATTCTTTCTGACTGGTCATCTGATTTTCAGTAAGGAGCTGGCTAAGGAAGCTATTGATAAAACTGTGCAGCGGCCCACTTAAAATGCTTTCGTGATGCGCACATCACGTCTCTCTCACCCCATGTTAATCGCGATAGATAGATAGATTGTATGATAAACAGCCAATCAATATTATGTGACCTTTTTTGTCGCGATTATTGGCCAATTAATGTAACTTACACCACGTGATGGTGACCTTGAATGTTCTTTTTTGTCTGTCACTCTACTTGTATATACATTTAATTAATTGACTGTTCATTTTGTCCGTTCCCTCAATACTGTTCGGTACGTTTTTGTCCTATTTTTGTAATGACAGTGTATTTGTACATTTTTCTTGGTGTAATTGTATGATTTATTTTATGTTTTAGAAACAGATAAAGTTAAAGTCAAGTCATTCTGTTTTAACTATAGTTAAGCCCAGACTCTGTGTCGTCAGTATTGAGGAAGGACTAAATCTGTAGGACAAAAATAATCCTACACCCCATAGAGAAGAGCTGACTGAGTGACATGACATTGGTGTTGAAAATCCGCAATTTGTTCTTTTTTCTGAGTTTACCAGATTTTGACACTGATTTCAGAGTGATGAAGGTGTACCTTGCCTCTTCAATTCCGGTTTTGATATCCTCACCAGTACCGTCGTCTGCAGTTGAAACGATGCGTTTCGTGATATGTTTATAAATTGCGATAAACCTGTTTCAGTAATTAACAAGTGTTGGTTTGAATGAATTTGATTTGTTTATCAGGTTTGATCACGAGTCGTATTCAGTTATAGAGAACCATTGGAAAACCAACAGCCGTTTCGTCCTAGTTTGAGGCTTTCCACCGTTATGCACCCACCGGGGTTTGAGTCCGGGATATCCCGGGATACAAGGTATGCTCGTAGAGCATTCAGCCACTTGGACCTGATTCAATAGCCTTTGGTAATTATCAGACATCTTTTATTTGTCCTCATAATTGCTAGCTAACTATTGTCTCAATTGTTTCATCTTTAAATCTCTCTATCAGGAACCCAGTCTTGGCTATTTACTCAACTCAATTGAACCAGAAGCAATCGAGTTTGCCGACACAGTGGAGGCTATAATCCGTAGCAACACTGTTCAGAATAGACAAGATAGTGATGATTCCCATGTTTTAGATATGAGCAAATCGTGGAAAAATATTCAATCTATCCACAGCAAAACTGACATCCCTTTAATTGATCAAAAGCATGGATCTGATGATCACCACCAGTCTTATGCAGGTAGTAGGAATCCCCTGAAAGGTGGTGTTACAGTATCAGAGAAAGTTTGTCATGTGAAGCAGAAATCTCTACCGTCAGTTTCACAGTCATCATCTCCATCGAATACAACTTTGAGTAATGTAAGTTTTCACTTTTGAAATTGTATGTAATCTGATAAAATTGCTCAATCTGCCCTTTATTTCATTTGAGAAATTGAAACAACAAGCAGAAAAGTGTTAGAAGGATAGACGGGCAAAGCTGAAGAATAGCCGATCCAAGCAACACGAACGCACTATATGACCCTTAGGTGCCCAATCAGAAATATCGTTGGTTTTTAAAGATATCCAAATACCTTACAATGACTGAAAGGGTCAAGCAACATAGGTTAAACCAGTAGATCCGGTGTATTCCAATTATTAGAAAAAAAAAGAATTTGGCTAAGGTTAGAGTAGTTGACCCTGTGAAGGTAAGTAATCCAGAAAAAACCTCAGGAGTTGTACTGCTTACACTAACATACGACCATACAACAGCGTGGGGCAGAGTTACAATTCTAAAAAAAGTAATAAAGATGGGTGGAGAGAGATAGAGAGGTTGATTGCTGAATCTTTGTTCATCAAATCTACACCCAACACATGCAAATAGGAAAAGACTCATCACTGATACCAGAGATATAGCAACATATTTTTTCTTTCCTTCACGTTCCCCAGTGGAACATAGGGCTTCAAGCTAGTGGCTTGAAGTTTCTGTAGCAGTGTTTATTTTACAGGATGGGGTTGCTAGCCTCATGCCTAACCTTTCGTCTTCACCAGCATTATTTCTGGCTTAGCGAGGTAAAGGAGTGCACCGGCCAGGGATCGAACCCCGGACCATGTGCATGGTCGGCGAGCGTCCTAACAGCTGTACCACCGACGCCAATCAGATAGAGAGATGAGAAATAATGGAGTTATATAAACGACGCCGGAAAGTTGTGTGAGTACGTTGATATGATTATGAGTGGAAATAAACTGTGCTCATCACTAAGTATTAGTTTATAATACTGTGAGACTTTATCAAAATAAATTTCTCCTTAGTGGAAAATGATGTGTATTCACAGGAAAGGTGCGGTTGGTAGTGATAAAACACATTAAGCGGGATATTTCTACGTGACATGGTTTGATAATGTCGTCCCAGTTATGAGGAGGAGTATCAATTTTTTAAGCTGAAACAGTTGTTGTACGTAAATTCATTGAGTTGACTAAAGATGACTTCTCTTTGTGTCGCATTTATCGCTCGTATCCTGTTTATCAGTCTTCTGCAAAAGCTTTTTCGGTTACATTGGTATGCATTCCATTCAGTAAGTGGGTGAATGAACTCATCTGAGTGAGTGATTGATTCTATGATGAATGAAACCCAAAATCGGATGAACTATTTTATCCGACCCATTCGCCTGCATGACTTATACTGCCTGGAATTACTAACCTTTAGATAATTAGTAAAAGAGTCGCTGCACTACGATTGGAAATTTTGTTCACACAATTTTAGTGGTGTAAATTTCCAATACCCAAACATTATTCGCCTTAGGATGACCACCTTTTGTTTTTCCATTATCGGAACGCGGTTTCTATATGCATAATGGAAACCCACTCCTCCCAACAGCTATGTAGCTAGTATGTCTCAACAATATATATGTATATATCTGCAATTCAAAGTGCACCGTGATGGCGAGCCGCCTAGAATTGTGGCCACATTGCAAACATGACTGATAGATTTCAGTCTGCACCAAACAAAGGACATCACACCAGTTACTAGTATTCATTCAATGTATATATCTCTATGCGACGGTGGTACCATTGCACAGTAGATACCAACGAATTCTCTGTCTCTCTGTAGCTGTGGATCTCAGCTCAGTCTTCAAAATCCAATAATGACAGATAGCTTCGAATTAATAAAGAAAGTTTCTGTGTACATTTCAATATATGTCCATCAATTGCTTCTGAACACCGATGGATATAGATATAAAGTCACCACAAGAGCATTTACGACTCTATGCTTTCAACCCCATTATCCAAACAGTAAATAAAAGTGAGATCGGGATGAAATTTGTGCTTCAATTTGTGTAGTACTGCTTTCACAGTGGCGCTATAATAATGGTAGGTCCCGTTATCTGACGAATAGTATGCCTTTCAGGTCATTGGTGCATTCGTACTCCCGGGTCGTTATTCCTTAACGCTTGATCGATGAAAGAATGGATTACACTAAGAAGTAGTCAATAGTAATTGTTCGTTCGTATTTGACTAAATAAAAACGTTAAGAATGAAGAACAACAACACTCTCTTTGGGATTTCATCTCGTGATAATGTGTAACGGAATAAGTGTGTGGAAAACCTCTCCTGATGAATAATCCAATTACAGTATTGGTACTTGTTTGGACGTTTCAGCAAACTTTGTAGTTATTATTATCCCGTTTTTATACTCTAGACTGTATCTGATCGTTGACATTTGTGGCATTTCGATATCACATGTCGACTTGGTCCTTATTGTTTGTCTGTGTTCCTGTTTCATCGCTAATTTTAACGTTTCTCTTCGTGGTTATGTGACGATACATTGATAATGTGTTGTTTTATGCTGTGATTCTGATTGAGTGAATGATGGTCATTCTGTCATTGAACTGTGTACAAGGAGGCTCTGGTGTGTGATTCTTTTTGACCTTAGCTTGTTGGGAATATTCCACTTGGTTCTAAGATTCTACTTGTTCCACACTACTTGTTTTGTACTAACAAATTCACCTCGTCTGTATAACTGTCTAACTGTATTGTTGAGGTAATTTTGAGGTTTTGATGTTATTGTTGAATAGATCCAGAGGGTCTATGTGTGCATATTCATTTGTTTGCTGTCTTTGGAGCGTTTTCTAACTGTGAATCTCTCTCAAGGAAGTTTTGGATAGCTATACAGTGGGATGCGAAGATCGGTTCCTCACTTTCAGATCACAACGTGTCGGTTGTAGTCGTTACAGATGTCTTACCATTGTATGTTTCTGGTTAGTTTCCCTGCGTCTTTTTATACCGGTTGCTATTTCTTCAAAGTATCATTCAAAAAGTTACTTTCTTCTGAGTACCAATCAACGAGAAAAGGTAGGTTCAGATCTCCGTTAACTAACTGTTGACGTATAACACTTTCCTACAATTTCTACAATCTTATCAGATGTTTTCACTCGGTCATGTTTTCAGGTAAAATTAGATAGTTTTCTTGATAAAGCACAGCCGTAATGCACCGATTCGTTCCGAAACGAATTATCTACCCATAAATTTCACAAAGATATTTATACATTCTTTTTGTAGAACAATATTCAGTAATTTTTTCGCCATATATGTTTCTTTGTTTTAGCAACCTAATAACACTAAATTGTCAAGCGGTTCTCTTGATGATAATAATAATAATAATAAGAAACTACCTAAATCACCTCATCCGTTTTCTAAACAGGACAATGAAATTTCTTCACTTAACGTAAACATATCATTAGATAGTTCTCAGTCTACAGGTCTGTCGTCTTCATGGAAATCCTCAACTCATCAACCATTTCGTCGTCGTATTCGTCGGCCTAGACCACGTCCAATAGTCTCTTCGGGATCTCGAGAAACACCTGCTAGTCATTCATGTTCACCTTGTACTGGAAGTCCTGCTGTTCCTTTGTCATGGAATGAAGCCATAGATTCTCTACGTTTACCTCTTGGCTTAATTCCTGCATTTATTCCTAATCCGGGATCAACTAATGCTCCAGGTACTACAGCTTATGTATTATGTCATCCTCCATCTAGTCAACCTGAGTGTACAACAAATATTGAAGGTGAGTTCATGCTACAGCCACCACGTCTGCAAAAATATCATTATTACTCAATGCTTCCTAATTAAAATTGCCCTTATATTTACTTTTTTAAATTGTGACCGTAAACATGATGTGCATCGGTGGTTCAGCGGTAGGGTGCTCACCAACAACGCCAAACGTGGTCCGGAGTTCGATCCTCAGTCGACTCACAGTTAAACCCCGCCAAACAGGTTGTTAGCCCGCTAGAGAGAGAAGGTTCGGCTAGGTGTGTAAGGCCTAGCAACCAACACCTTGTCAAGAAAAATAATATAACCACTGCTACCGAGACTTCGAGGCTTAAAGTGCTTGAAGCTCCATATTCCACTTGAAACTTTCATCATTATTAATCTGACATGTGCAGATTTTGGGATTTTTTATGTACTACTATATGATTTGAACGCCCTATACTGCACACAAAGCTTTCTGAGAATATATCCTAGGTGTTATTTTCACAACGCCTTAACAACATTAGAGAGATTAGCTTCGAATATTTAGTACAAACAGTGTAGCAAGTGAATTATCCTTAAAGGAAATAAAGGTATTTGCTCATTCATATACAATTAGTGGGTGTTTCTCCTTATTTGCATCTTATACATATATATATATATATATATATATATATATATATATATATATATACAACGGTTTTAGAAGTAATTGGGGCATATGATCCCACTGGTATATATATATATAAAGTGTTAGTGTTGTTTGTATCCTGTAATTTTTCGTTGTTGTTTCGGGGTGGGGCTGAACGTTTCTATTAATAATGAAGACAGTCTGTTTAAAACCTGAGCTACAAAACTACGCCATCATCATATTGCATATAATTCCTTTTCTTCACTTTGCTTTAATTTATTGAAATGCCAACCTCTAATGGTGCTTTCTACTCTCGCGACTATTTAAAATATCTACAACCTGCTGATTCACAAGTCTATACTAAACTTGAGAAAAGGCGAAATCGGTGGTGGGAACGTACCCCATTACATGAGATAACTATTCCTGAGATTTTTAGTACAAACTGCTACTCACTGTTTGAGAAATAAAAGGAATTACCCTCAGTCCTCAATTATTCAGCTATTATTATTATGTCCGGCATCTTTATTGATCGGCTTTCAGCCAAATGTTGTGCATTTATTGCAGTAGGAAATCAAAGAATAGATATCATAAGGGATTAGTTTGTCGCTTCAGGTGAGACAGCAGCAGCAGTGTATCAGGGGATTTACTGTCCGTTACTATTTTACTTGAAGGTTGTGGACAAAGGGGAACTATTACGCAATAATTTTCGCTGGAATTTCTCTACATTACATAAACACTCTTCAGAATAAAGCGATTATAATGTCTATATGTGTATTAATTGGCGAGTTTACCATGCTGTCCAATTAGAATTCTGCAATTAAATGTTTTCATCATGTGTCTCTTTGACATTTAAAAGTAGGATTTTAACTTTTTCTTACACACGTTAGTGTTTTTGTTCCATAAAAGAGTTATATTAACCTTCGCAAAGTTGATTGTTATTATTGGGTGGAGATAATTTTATTTTACTAAAACTACTTCCCAGCAGGAATTAGACTGAACATGAAAAGAAAGTCGTAGTTTGCATTTCTGAAGAATTTGGATCATTGATTAATACGATTTCTTTCCTAATAATAAAATAATAATAGCTTTATTTTGAATAGTGTTTATGTTATGTCGAGAATACTGGGCGGAAATTATGGCATAATAGTTCCCTTTTTGTCCACAAGCTTCAAGTAAAGTAGTAATTGACAGTAGATCGCATGACACACTGATATCTCATCTGAAGTGAAAACCAATCCCTTATGATTTTTTTTCTTTGCCTCTCTTCTTCGAGAGATGCACAACACCTGATTGAAGACCAATTAATACAGATGCACGACATAATAATAGCTGAATAATTCGTTTTATTTCTCAGGCAGCGAGTAGCAGTTTGTACTAAAAATCTCAGGAACAGTTATCTCATGTAATGGGGCGCGTTTACACCCACGATATTTCGCCTTTTCTCAAGTTTAGTAGGAACTGGCGAATCAACAGGTTGCAGATATTTTAAATACTCGCGAGAGTAGAAAGCACCATTAAAGGTCATATTTTAATAGACTAAAACAAAATGAACAAGAGATATGATAAGGAATACAATGATGGCGTAGTTTAGTAGCTCACGTTTTAAACAAGCTCTACACGTTGTAGACATTTTCTGGAATCGACGAATTTCTATAGGAATACACTTCTTACGTTTCGCTAATTGAAAGATAAAAGATGGTAGGTGAGTGATGTGCTGGTCGTTTCAGTGAAACACATCATAGCATTCATTTCACAGTCAACAGTAGGCTCGATTACACCTTCAAATCGATCGTATTTGAAATCACTCATTCTTGTTTTATCACTATTCAGCTGACCTTCTATTTTTTGCATCATGCTGAGTTATTGCAGCCATTAGAAGGATTGACTAGATTGAAGTGAAAGGGATACATGGTCAATGATTAATTTCTCACTCCCTTTTTGATTAGTTATTACAAGATGAAGGTTGTACGTTGAGCTTTGATGGTTTTCAATACACGATCTAGGCTTTCAATGCAGAACGTCGCAGATATGAGTCTCACTCCATCTGTCTAAAAATAAAGAAGTGTGAGGTCGTATTCGATCCTCACCTGTGTACGTGGTGGTGTAACAGCAGAAGGCACGACACAGAAGCCAAGGTATATTTTCTTCAAGTGATCAAACAGCTCTTTATATCTATACGATTTATATTCTCTAACCAGTCACTGAGCGTGTAATTTTAGTTTACATTGAATGAAATAGAATATTCAAGTATATATAATATTCTGTTGCTAACTGGGAATAGTATTCAGACGTTTACACTAACAAATACAATGATTCTTACTGTGAGAATAATATTCTGTTGGAACCCATTGTCCGTATCACAACACCACAGTGGTAGCGTTTTCTCTCGTTATTTGAATAATATGTACGTGTGGTCATTGAACTGCATTCTATTCTACTATTACCTCAAAGTTTCACTGTGCCTGTTTTATTGTAATCGTATCATCATATTCTAATTTCTCCCCTGTATGTTTCAAATTTTGCGTGAATAGTTTGATCCTCTGCTTTGACAACTAATTTATTTAATAATTGTTTTGAAAACTATTTTCTTTGCTTTTAGATTCATCTTCGCGTTTGTCTTTGTTCCTTGGTGTTTATATGAATTCTGAGTATTTGATTCAAATACCGTTACGTGATAAAAATGCCACTTTATTCAAATACATTCAGGTAAGTTTTTTTTATTGTTTTTGCATTGGATTTCCTTTTATTATGGGAATACTATTCACGATACTCATAGTAAGCTGATTGAATATGAAGAATTTTAGAGTTATTTCGGTTTTATTTCAGTTCAACAGTTTTGTGGATTTGATGTGGATAAGTAGGTAGCACACAACTCGTTGTATTTCACTTTGTCGATGTCTGTAAGAAATTGTAATGTATTCGTGAAATAAACCTGTTTATTACATGCACGTCGAAAAGTCTTATACTTCTTGGTGCACCGTTACGAAATTCTAACGGCGAAGAAGAGAGGTCAGTGTATCGTGATGCAGACTGATAGAAAGCAGTCAAAATTTTAGACGGACAGCTGACTGTAGAGGTAGAAGTGTTTATTCCTCAAATCTGCTGTGGACATGAAACTACCCTCATTGGACAACTTGTCTAACCTTGGGCCGGTCAATCGCCAACCAGTAAGAACTATTTATCCTCCTCTGAACTAGCGGAACTTTAATGTATCTAAGAATGTGTAAATATAATATGATTTTACCCTAATAAAAGTCCGTTACCAGGTGTTTTGTCTTCTCGCGTTACTTCAGTTACATAATAAAGAGTATAGTGTTCATAATTAAAGAATTTATAGGTGACTTGATGTTTTTAAATAGAAGGATCTCTGACTTTTAAAGGTGTGGGCTCTTTGCCTCATGCTTAAAAGTTGAATTCTACCCTCATGTAATTCTCTTTGGATGTCTGGATGATAGCAAGGCTTACGATAAAACATGTATTTATTCTAGCTCCTCTGCTTATAACACTTTCGAGATGGTGAAAATCAATGACAGGAGATTGTTTGAAGAAATGACTTCTTGTTGTAATCCAAATCCAGAAAATCGTAACACTAATTATTATCCTATCCTATCCACTAAGGTATTCTTCCCTTGTTGTTATTTTATTACATTTGCTTTCTTAACTGTCATGTGTGCATTTCTAAAGTGCGATTCTTGCTGTCTAATCTTGCAGAGTTCAATATTGTTATAAGGTAATTAGAGGCATTCGTCAGGAAGCCTGGCTTGACCTAAGTTTCCTATTTGTTTGCATTCACTAGTCAGTGAGACGTATCTGAAATCCTGAGGGAACTGATTTCCTTTCTGAGTTTCGAACCCGTATCACATGGTGTTGCAGTCAGAGACGGTTATCACTGAGCTGTTTGGACTGGCGATTGACCTCCTGTAGGGGACTGTATTAGATACGTTGATCTGACGCTGGGTAGTGTCTAATGTCATCCAGCTAGTCCTTGATGTTGGTGCGCCGACTGAAGAATATTACCGAGTCTGGCGTTTGTGTCATGAAGTGCACCATATTTATCTATCTATCTATCTGGAAGCATGTCTTAACTGTGTATACTGTCAATATTCTTCCCCTCATTTTCAATGCATTTTACTTATTTGTGTTTCACCTAGGAATTATCAGAGAAATTTGAAATGCTTGAAGATTCTAGTAAATATCGCCTGTCTAAATCAGTTGATGGATTGGATAAAAGTAAAAATAGTTATGTGATTAAGTTGGGCTATCGTTTTTGGGATGCAAAAGATGAGGATGCGAAAAATAATGATGAATATTGTGTTCAGCGTGTAACTCAACCTGCTGGTGACACTGTTACTCCGAACAGCTCTGCTGGAACTGCAAGCGCTTATAACAATGAAGTGAGTTTTATTTTATTATTTTTTTGAAATTCTTCTAACACTATTGAGCTTACCTTTCATGGGTATTATTTCCTAATGAATTGAGAATTTTAGTGTGTATTTCCCAATGAACAGGAAAGTAGTATGAAAATGGATAGTGATCGGGAATTGACAGAAGTTAGAATTCATGGGCCATCGGATTGGCTGCAATGGTCAACCAGTTCGCCTCGTTAACCTTCAAGGTCCTTGGCGTGATCCCTTTCGGTGGATTCGTGGCTTCGTACTACCATTGAAGAGTCCCAAGCTGGGACGGAACAGCTTTTCAGTACTCTTTGGTTTTCAACGGGATCTCTTTATGATAACAGACCATGATCAAAGTTGACGTGATTTAAGTGATGAGTCTCATAAAGAGGATCACATATCAAGGGACGGTTCAGGCTTAACTCACGACTGGCACGCTGCTTTAAAAACTTCGCCTAGTTTGTTAGCCGTTAGTGAAGCCGGGGAAAAGAGGGGATTTGGAGTGTGTGAACCTAGCAACCCTACCACTGCTATTGAAATTTCAAATGCTTGAAGCCCAGTGTTCCAGTGTGTAAGGAACTTAGGAAGTGAAAAAAGACGCCCGAGAAGAAACCGAAGTTAGTCACATGAAAACGATTAGCTAAAAAAATTTGCGAAGGCTAATGAAAACTGAAATTTAGTCTTTTATCGTTGAAAAGAAGAGATGTATTTCCTTTCATAATATTTCGATAGGTTCTAAATTGATTTCGATAAGTCAACATTTATCAACTAACCAGATGGAAATGATTGAAACACATCTGATTGACTGACTGACTGTTTTCAACATAGAACTTTGTACAGAAGGGAATCAGTTCGAGGAAGACAAAAGAGAATAAACAAGATATTCAAAAGAACGATAATCAGCTGAAATGTGAGGGAGAAAGTTTATTAACATGGAACAAACACTGCGGTTTAGTAGATGTGACAGATCACAAGAAGTGAATGCATCTTCGCCATTGAAAACGATTTTGAGTCGTATCACCAGTTCTCTATAGCCACTGGTTCTTAGAATCCCGACGGTACCAATCATATTATTATATTTATATTTATTTAAACGCAGAAAAAACTTGGTACAATATGGCACCAAGAAAGATGCGCCACACAATTATAATAAAACAACATAGATTAAAAGTGAAAATATAGGTAGAGAATGGATAAAGAACTTCATCTGGAAGGAAAACAGTTATGTTTAACAAGTTTAAACAGTATTCGTTAACTATCATCAGGAAGGGAAGAAAGAAGGAAATTGCAACACGTTCGCCACTGATTACGATTCTTGGCCATATCCGATAACGTTTTGAGTCGTCTATTCGAGCTATCTCGCGGACCTCAACCAGGGAGTCGTGACTCACCAACCGATGCTAATATATCGCAAAAATCCATCCCACGACGCCACATCATGGACTGACCACCCCTCCACCTTTTCCTTCCCGTCCCAGGGCTAGCGAACAGAGACCCGAACGGAAGCCTCTGGGATGACATTCGCAGCACATGTCCAAGCCACCGGAGCCGGTGTTTCCAGATGACGACACTCAATGAATGGTGATCTCCACTGTGTTCAAACACACGCCGCCGAACCTCAGAATTACTCACGCGATGATGCCATCGAACGCAAGCAATCCTGTGGAGACAGCGATGGTCGAACACGCAGAGTCGCCGCACATCCTCAGCTTGGAGAGGCCAGGTTTCACAGGCGTAGAGCAAGGCAGCCCGCACCGAAGCATTGTACACCCGACCTTTGACAGCCATGGTAACGTGGCGACGGCGCCAGAGGTGGCTCAAGTTGATGAATGCCACCCTAGCCTTCATTATACGGTTGGAAATACCAACCATGCAAGCGGTCTACACCTCACTACGTGGATGGCTCAAATTAACTGTCACGAATTTTATGCACTGATCCCATGCCTTGGTTTGAACACCTCTAGCTATTTTCCAACGTAATCACGCATCGGCTAAGATTAACCATCGGGGAAGGCGATGCCTAGGAATACGTTACACATTTCCTAGACATCGCAATTGATGTAGCTTCATAACCTTATCGATTGATTTCCCCCTTACCTAGACGCCTAACCTTAATATTATTCACCCTAATCTACCACCTAACAAGGGTGATAGAGCGCAGACACTTATAATGAAACACAGTTGGCCTTTTCATGTCTTCCATTTTTAATGGTCATGTTTGACAGGCATAAAGGAGGACAGTGCGAAGTGGTGAGTAGCACACACGTCCTTTGGTCTATAGCACATCGGATATCACGTTCACTCATGAGATGGCGTGGATGGGGGAAATCCAACACGAGCTTTTTGTATCGGTACTGAGATTTCATCATCAATCAACCCGTTGGTGGGTCAGTATACTCTGCCACTTCACTGCCTTTAAGCTTGGGGGTCAATTTAATCCAGTACTTTAAAATCATCTTACATTTGACAGGAGCAAATCGTATTCCAAACATATGAAGATGGCTGCTCATTGTGTTCGGAAAACTGTGCATTTTATCAGTATCTTCACCTTCTATAGGATGACTTAATTAAAGCTATAAATCAGTAACTAATTGAAAACAAAGATAAACTTATATTTTCCAAATAAGGAGAGAAGAAAGATGAACATGGGATCTGTTGTGTTCGGCAGATTTTCTCTTGTTTAATAGTGCTCTATTATTTTAATAGTTTTTTGAACGTTAACTCTGTTTTTATGTGTTCTGCTTTCACAGGCAAATATCAGAACAATTTACGGACAAGCATTATTAAACAAACGTGACTTACGTTTCACTCCATCTCTTGATCGACCTATAAAATATACATCATCCGGTATTGATATACCTATAATTGGTGATGATAAGAACGACGGATGTAACGATGATAATTATGATGCATCTGATAAAATAAATAATTCATTGTTAACGTGTGAAATTAATGCACCTCATCCACCTAGTAATCCTGAGGATATTTTACAGCTTATAAAGCTACTGTATCAATTGTCAGGTTTAAAAGAATCGAATGAATTAGGCTTGAATGATTTCATTATGGATAAGAAATCTCTTGAGGATATTATACCTGCCAACAATGATCAGAATGAGTCAATAGAAGTTAAAATTCAAGATTTTGTATCTAGTCGGCTAACAAATAAACTGTTACGTCAAATTCATGATCCTTTGGCACTGGCATCTGGTGCATTACCAAATTGGTGTTTATCACTAAGTCAAAGATTCAATGTTATCTTTTCATTTGATGCACGTTCTCAATTGTTCACTTCGTGTGCATTTGGTCCAGGAAGGTTAGTAATATTTAGCTTTTCTTTTTTAGATCTGTTTTAATTGTATTTTTGTTGTTTTTTCATCTATTTTGACTTTCTGTTCACTGTTATTCAAGTTTAATTATCGTACTACTTATATTCAGTAGTAAGTAGTATAAATTTTTTATATAAAAGTGTATGCTATTATGAAATATGGTTATCTGGTTTGTTTATCGTTTAACCAGCTAAACTTTTGTTTACAATGTTTGAAATCTGCCAGTTTTTATGTTTAACTGGATGAGATTTTTAACACAGTTTATTGTTAATAATCATATCATCAACTTGTATAGTTACACAACTTCGAAACTTGATTTTCATAGTTCTCTGCATTTGTCATAAGGGTAGTAGAATTTTCCGGATGACTGCGAGAGGTGTTAAATCGTTATTTTTGCACGTATTCTTAGTTGATTCGATAAATAAAGGTTCCACTATCCACAATGGTAAACTCATTGAAGTCTTTGAAGTGATAACAGGAGTAAGATAAGACTACCTACTGCCACCGATATTATTCTTAATTGTAGTGGACTCCATCATGTTGAACACCGTTCATGGGAAGTGGGAAGATAAGAATACTTTGTAACAATGAGAAGACTCTAGAAGACCTGGATTTCCCGGATGACTCATTTCTAATGTTACATATAAGTTTAAAGACGAACACCAATAAGTTGGAACAAGAGTCTGGCAGCGAAGACAGAACCTGAAGTGAACATAGAGAAGACTGAGGTGCTGAAGATAACCAACCAGTGACAACGAACACAGATCACCACCAACAGAAGAAACTTGAGAAGCAATCACTTCCTTCGCTTATCTAAGCAGAGTCGTTTCAACTAAAGTCGACAGAATCCATGAGGATGTTAAAACAGACTAGGATCGAAAAGGTAAGACTGATCCTTCATCACTCAGAAATCAGTTTGCGAATCTCCTGAACATAACGTAAAGAACGAGATTCGGGTTTTGAACGCTAATGTGAAATCAATCAGTCAGTCAATCCTTCTATTTGAGTCAGAATCCTGATGTGACCGTCGCCAAAAATGTTTTATTTCTAACAACTGGCCTCAGACTTTTATCAGTGGCTGTGTTCGCTGTCTCCATATTGAAGATCACGTGACCATCTGCAAAGAATTAGCAACAAGAAACTCTGACACTCAACGAACCAACCACGAACCTATTACTCAACAAATATGCCGAAGACAGTGGACATGGATTGGACTCACTCTGAGGAAACCGTGGAATGACATTGTTCGCCAAGCCAGCCCTCGAGTTGGGGTTGACATGAAGGAGATCATGCGAGGAGGAGATGAAAGCCTCTAAAGAATTGTGGGGCCAGCTGAAGAGGACTACAGACAACAAGATTAAATGGAAATGTTTTATTGAAGCTGTATGTTCCACTCGCAACCTATGGGAATAATGATACCAAAAATATATGTTTATAAATAAACGGAGTAATCTAGTTTATCTAATACCCTGATATGATTATGTGGTTATATACATATAGATTGCTGCAGTAGGGCAGGATCAGCTGCAGTAAGAAAGAATATAACCCTGGCAAAATCTAAGTTAGCTTGCTCTAATGAGATTGTAACAACAGAAGACAAGGGTCAGGCAACATCGTTTACTAAAGAAATCAACACATATTTATAGCTTTTCATATACATTATTATAGATTATTGTTAGCAGAAAAACACAGTCCTCTGTTTGGTTGTTTCTCACTGAAAGTTAATCTTTCATCTCTTTGTGGCCGTTTCTTGAAGTTCAGATTATCTATCTGCAAATTGTATCCGCCTACGCAAAGTCTTCTGCGGTTGGTTGTTGAATCAGTCTTTGTTCATATTTTTCTCACGACCAATTTTGGGGACGTAAACATTGACGTAAATTACCATGTACCAATTTGGTTAGAAGCCAGCTTTCCCCACAAGATAAGAAATCTGGAGAATAGCCCTACATTCAATTACGGACAACCATACAATAGGATGGGATAAGATAACAGTCTTAAAGTCTAATATAGCAGGGTGGAAGGAGCGATTGGTAACGGAAGCATTGTTCATCGAATCAACTGAGAATGCATGCAAAACGAGTGACTCAGTACCTGTCACGGACATCCGAGAAATTCTATCACCCTTACGACGAATAGGAAGGAATAAAGAAAACTATGAAACGAAAGTCTCAAAGTTGTTTGGTTATTATTGATATGGTTATGAACAATAGCTTTTGCTGAGTATTTTGTGTATGCTTTCCAAAATAATTATTTCTGTTTTTCATATGTGTTTTTGATATTTCTGTAGAGCTGCAATTTGGCTTCAAAATCGTCCACTTCAAAAACGCAGTTATGCTGCAGGAACAACTGGAACAACAGCAACTTCACTTTCTGAGACATTTAGTCGTGCTGGGAGTGCCAACAGTACAAGTGGTCGTTTATCTTATCGAATCTTTTTACCGTCTAGTGGTGGTGGTGTTGGTGGAAATGCTTCCTTGATTTCTGCTCTGTTGAATAACGCCGCCATCACCACCAGCAATCACAACAGCAGCATTAATACACCAGATACATCAACCAATTCGAATACAGATTATGTGCTATTACGGCCATCTATATTAACTCATCTGTTGAATGCAACCAGTGGGGGGACATCTAATAGTAATAATAACAGTATTTCTCAAATTGATAGTCTTGACATTAATTCTGAGCATATTTCATCCCTGGAATCAGTTTTAACCAGTTTAGGAATACCTTTACCGTCTAGTGGTAATTCTTTGAATTGTGATGCCTATTTCTCAGACAATAATAATAATAGTAATAGTAACAGTAATACTACTAGTGATCTACTTAATTGTTTATTAATTCATTCTAATCAAAATGTCCAATCATTGGCTAGTACAACAATGACCACAACAAGTACTACACCGAATAACGGCGGTAGTGCGAGTGGTGGCGGTATTGGATTTAACTCTGAGGATCGATCAACATCGAATATTGGTCGTTTGCACAAGGAGTTTGTACGTATACCACGTTTACCGCATGAATTATTGCTAACACAACAGAAGAATAAATACTTTTTAAAATTGTCGCCAAATTACTCGTATCAGTCAGATAAATTAACATTTTGGCATTGGGCATCAAGACTTATGGAAGAGCATGCATCACGTAAATCTGAATTAGAAATTCAGTTTATCGGTAAGTGTGTGTGTGTAAATTAACTCACATACTTGCTGTTTTTATCCATTATTTATTTTTTATTTCACGAACCCCTCTGTTTTCTCAGTTTATATTTTATTTGATGGGTTGGAGGATTTCATCATGAGCTGACATCAGTTAGAGAAGCATTGGAAAACCTGCAGGGAGTACTGGACAGCTGTTTCATCCTAGTTTGGGACTCTTCATCAGTACGCACCCACCCGCCGGTGTTCGAAACCAGGACCTTCTGGTTACAAAGCGAGCTCATAGACCATTGAGCCACTGGAACCCTACCCAATGGTCAGCCCATGAATTCTAACTTCTGTCAATTCATGACATAGCGCAACCATTTCGCACTGTCTTCTTCGATGAGTTACTACCTCACCTTCAACCTGCTGCGCCCTACTGGTCACGGCTTCCCACTAGAACCTCTGGTTGACTGACTGAATAGGGCCAGTCGCTAGTGAGCATCAGATTAATTTTCAAGTAGTGGTGTTGTAGGGATTTTGTTTGATTGAATGGGGAGTTTTCAAGTGTCAGTAGCTGTTGTGTTACTGTTATATTTACGGGGGTGGGCGGAGTTGCTAGCCTCACGTCCAACCTCCTCCTTTTTACCGCGTTAACTGCCGGCGTCTAAAGAAGTTTTTAGGAGTGTGTTGGCCTGGGATCAAACCTTGAACCGTGTGAGCCGTGGTTGGTTGGCGATCATTCTACCGCTAAATCTGTAAAGGTATAATTGTTTATAAAATTCCTCCTGAACGATCCAATTACAATATTGATGCTTATTTGAACGTTTCAACTAACTATGCAATTATTATCCCGTTTTTATTCTAATTGTTGTGTCATTTGGATACCACACATATTGTTTGTCCTTGTTCCTGTTTAATCTCTAATTTTAATGCTTCTCTCTGTGGTTATGTGGCGATACATTGATAATGTATTATTTTAAGACGTGATTTTGTTTGAGTGAATGGGGTGCGGGGGTCATTCTGACCCTAGACTGTCTTGAGGAATAGTTGGTGTATGATTCTTGTAGAGAGAGTTTTTGATTCCACGTTGTTGGGAATATTTTACTTGATTCCTAGTACTTGTTTTGTACTTAGAAAGTCACTTTGTCTATATAGATGCCTAACGGCGCTGTTGAGAAACACAAATTTATCGAAGAATAATCATCTTTGGAGCGTGTCTCAAGGAGGTTTCGGATATCTATACAGTAGAGCGTACAGGTTGGTTCCTTGCGTTCAGACTACAATGGGTCGGTTTTGGTCGCTACAGAACTACTGTCGCCAGCTTAAACCCCTTCGTAGAATATAAACGGTGTAATAAATAGGTATACTTATCCATTCTGAACTTGTATCACTTGCTTTTTCTGGGATATGTATACCAAATTATAACTAGACCAGTAGAAAAAATATCATAGTCATACGGGACACTGAAGCTTGCATTTTAGTGTGGGTACAAATAACTATAGTGTTTAACCAAAGTTTGATTACTGTTATTACTAGTAGTATCATTATATTATTGTTCCCTTGCGTTCCGAGTGGAACATAGGTCTCCAGCAGGACATCTCCATTTTATCCTGAACTCTCTAGCCCTCTCCACCTGGCCTCACGACTCTTTATGGTCTCTTACCTTCTACTCTCATGATCTCCTCTCCATGTCACCCTAGGGTGCCTCACTTTAGGACTCACCTGGCTCGCGATGTCATTCAACGGTCTCTCTCTCCATTCCCTTCGGATGGTTCGCTCGCAAAGTTGTTTGTTGCTAACCATTTCTTGCTGGTCATCTGATCCCCAATTAGGAGCTAGCGATGGCAGAGGTTGGTAAAAGACTCCTGTAGCTTGTAGGGAATGTCTTTGGTGACGCGTGAGCCACTTTTCGAACCCATGCAGGGGGAATTGACTAATATAACATTAGAGTTAAAAATATGAATCATCATGTGCATTATGCTGAGTTGAGTGCAGTCGATTTCCAAATGATTTCAGATTGATGAAGGTCTGACTTCCTTTTTCGACTCCCTCTGGTTTCGACAACCTCGTGGGTGTTGTGGCCTGAAGTTGAAACGATGTGCTGTCTGGTCAGATAAGTGAATGAAGTGACCTACTTTCAGATTTCTCCTGATTATAGGGATTTGTACTTGTTGTATTGTGACTTCTTCGTACATTTATTCATTTAGTACGTGTTATGCGTATTTTCTTCAAACTTCAACGCATCGTTTTTTCCACAGTATATAATCTGCTTGCTACCATAAACGATAATCAAGGAAGTTTGAGAAATAGGATGATAGATGTGTGGGTAGCTAGAAACCAGTCACAACGAACAGTAGTGCGTGGTAGCCCAGATCCAAGTGATCTAACACTGGACGATTCCAAACGAGTGAAGTGATCGTCTGGTGTTAAATCACTTTAAAACACAAAATAATCGAGCAAAGAATATTCTTTTCGATAAATTCCTCTTCCAGACTCTACAATTATATATATGCCTATATACATAGAATATTCTAGAATAGTAGTCAATAACAATATTGGTGTTTTTTAAATAATATCGATTTGTAAAGTAAGATCAGTAGAATTACAGTTTACCAAAGATGCATAAATTATAATAAGCATACAAATGTAACATCAACAAATAGAACATCAACTAAAATTAGGGAAATTCCACAAAAATTCCGGATTATTCAAACCTGCATGGTGAAGATAAGGATAATGTCTGAACTAACTTCTTTTGGATGCATAAATTAGGCTTGTTAATATGGATCCTCACTTTGATGTGACCACCGGACACTACTCACCTTAATCAGTAGTATGTACCAGTATGTAATCGTTTTCTTATTAGTTTACCCTTTATGATTACGTTGAGCGATGTTAAGTTAAAACTATCTGATGAAGAATGAATGGTGAACCAATCGGAATGGAGGTAAAGATGTGCCTACGATTAGTGGAGCCTACAAACTCAATGAATTGAAAATAACTCACTGGGTCTATGATCCAATGACCAATCATAATATGTATATAATATAGTCTTACAGAAGTGGTCACTTTTGATTCGGTGCTTGGTAATGCGTGTTTGACATCCTCGTCCGTTCCTCCTTATCTAGGGAGCATTGTCTGAACTACAGGAGGAACGGACGAAGATGTCAAATCGTGTATCGGTAAGGCAAGAAACACATTCATCAACCTGAAAACAATCTGGAAATCTTCGTCACTCAACTCACCATCAACAACAAAATTCGGATTTTCAATACAAACGTCAAGTGACGGGTCACAAAGAATATTTCCAACAGCCTGTTGCAGACCTTTATCAACAACTGTCTTCGCTGGCTCTATACTGAAAATCAGATGGCCGGAAACATTCACCAACAAGAAACTATGGGAACAAACAAAACAAGAGCCAATTGCCCCACAAATATGCAGGAGAAAGTGGAGATGGATTGGACTCTCGCTGAGGAGGCCGCTGGGTGACATCGCACGTCAGGCCATAGCTCGATTGGAACCCGAAAGGGAACCGGCGAGTGGGACGTCAGTGCAAGGGTGACATGGAGGAGATCGTGTGAAGAGGAGCTGAAATACTATGGACTAACATGGATGGAAGTGAAAAGTACAGCAGAAGACAGAAGCAAGTGGAGAGGTGTAGTTGAAGCCCTATGTTCCACTAGGAACCCAAGGGAACAATAATAATAATAATAATGCATGTTTTCAATCCCAATGTCGTTTTATCAGATCCTGTACACTTTTTAAGGAATATCTCCAATCACTATATGTCGATTACCTTCATTTTGACTAAGAATTCCCTGCTTGATAAACAAACTGATATCTTTCTCTTTAAGTCTCATTTAATTTTTACTATTGTCTTACTGGGCTAAAGTTGCGTTCACGGTTCAGGTATTTAATTCTAAAGTCTTTATCTCAAGATCATTAGCAGTTACTCATTCAGGATTAATATTTTGGGAATTCTTTTCTTTTCAAAATTATTCTTACCTAGGTGAAGAAGGTACTGGTTTGGGTCCAACTCTAGAATTCTACTCACTTTTGGCTGCTGAACTTCGCCGACGTGATGGTCTAATGTGGGTTACAGATGATTTCCCAATACTGTCTCAGACAAACAATCGTCGACCAGCTCTGCCTACAATTTCTAGTTCAACAACTTTAGAAGAGCATACTGATTCAAGTCTTGGGAGTTATAATTCAGTTGATTGTGAAACAGACGATATCGATGAAGCTAGTATATACGTGAACACACCTTGTGGATTATTCCCAGCGCCTTGGCCAGGAGATCAGGTGCCTGAATCTGTTCTGCATCGTTTCTACATTCTGGGTATCACAGTGGCCAAGTGTTTACAGGTATGTGGTTGTTTTTCGTACTGTTGTATGTGGTTTAATACAACACTTATTGCTATTAGGTAGAATTTGTGCCGTTTTTCTGCGGTAATAGTTTTTCTTTTATTCCTTTACGTTCCCAGTGGAACATAGGGTTTCGGTGGCAGTGGTGTTTATTTTTACGGGATGGAGTTGCTAGCCTCATGCCCAACCTTCCCTCTTTACCAGCTTTATTTCTGGCTTAGTGAGGTAAAGGAGTGCGTCGGCCGGGGATCGAACCCCGGACCATGTGCATGGTCGGCGAGCGTACTAATCGCTGTGCCACCGACGCACAGCGGTAATAGTAACGTTATAATACTAGTCAGAAGACTGGTGAAAACAAGTAAGCATTGAAAAACATTTCCTGTACAACTTTGATTTCCTCAAAACTGAACTATAGTAATTCATATGACTTTGTTTTGACACTAACTGGTGTCATGCGTGTCCAGTTCCTTTGTTTGGTGCAGACGGAATTCTATCAGCCAAGTTAGCATTGTATCCCTACCATGCATGCTTGGTGACTCGCTATTCACAGTGTACTCTGAAACCTAGTTCAAACAAGGCTTCCTGCCAATGACATCCAACTGTGATGGTAAGTCACCTAGCATGGTGGAGCAACATTGCGAACTCGACTGATAGTGTGGTGAGAGTTGTCTGCAAACCAAAATTGGTAGCCACTAATTTACGTCAATGTTTACATCCCGAATCCGGGTTGTGAGAAAAAAACAACAATAACAAAGCTTAACCTTGAGGGACTCACCAACCAATCGCTTAACGTGTGCAAATGCAATTCGCAGATAAATGGCTTAACTTTCTAAAAAACGGTCACAAGGAGTGCCGAATAACCTTCAGCAAGAAAACAACCAATCAGAAGACGTGGCTTCTCTGCTCACAATAACGCTAATAATAATGTGCATAAAAATCTATAAATATCTCTTGATTTTCTCAATAAACAATCTGTTGCTTGACCCTTGTCTTCTGTCGTTACAATAGAATTCAATTAATAAGTAATCATCCCCACCCAGACATGATGGAAACAAAACGCGTGGTTCAACGAAGAGCCTGTTTTCGGCGAATTCATTTTCTTCAGCTGTACAGTTGGATTTGCATACAGGATTTGTCGATGGCTGCACAAGAACAGCTGAACTGACATATGCTCACGGTGTTAGGATTAGATCTTATGAAAGAAATCTTCATCCAGAATAGATACGCAATGAGATACATTGACAAGAATATCAAACCAAAAGTTTAGAGAAAAGAAACATTACTTGTTTCCAATAAGAAACCTTATATGAACCTGGATTTCAAATACAGACTTAATCTGAGATATGCTCAAGAAAAAAATTTCATTTTCTTTGAGAAGAACATCCTTCGCTAAGAATAGTGTTCTCCAGTCTTCCATTTATCTGCAGAAACCTGAAGGATAAGATCTCGCATCTGACCACTTCTGTGTGCATTAATCAGTTGACCTGTTCCTGTGGAACCAGCTATATTGATTGTTTGAGGCGTATCCTGTCTACAGTAGTTCAAGAATATTATCCCGCATGGTTGCAGAAATGTACTAGTGGCTCTATAAGGAATGCCATAATTGAACACCTTGTTAACACTGGTCATTTCATCTCAATAAACGCCTCCTCCTTCAAAGTAATCTACAGAGTGAAGAATAACCTGCCAAAGGCAATACACTTGCGTCTCCTCTGCATTGCTTAAGCTCTAGGCATTCAGATAGAGAAACTGGAACTATGCACACTAAAGGAAACTATTCACATACTTCTATCATGGAAACAAACTCGTTGATTTTTGTTTGTTTGCTTTTCTAACTCTTGTGTTTCTTTAGAACTCCCACATAATTCCATATTTTCCACTTTTTCAACTTCTCTTATGTATTGACTAATATTAGCATCTATGGTGATGACAACTCTCTTCCATGAGAGAACCGATAGATTTCAATCTGTACCAAACAAAGAACTAAACACATCACATTAATTACTTAATGTCTAGTTAGTGTCCAATAAAAGTATCCAACACAGTTCTACATGAGATCAATCGCAAGCCTGAATAGCTCATTAATAACGCCTCTAACTGCAGCACCGGGTGACGCGGGTTCGAATCTGAGAAGGGATATGAGTTCCTTCGAGGTTGTAGATACGCCTTGCTGACTGGTGAGTGCCAACTAGCACGAGACGTAGGTCAACCAGGGCTTCCTGCCTATTGCCCCCTCCCCAACTATCTAACTCTCTGATTTGTTGTTATCAGATGGTTGGAGGGAATCAGTAGAAAGCCTTACTTGATTTAGATTTCGTACTTGTTTGTACTCACCAGTCAGGAAGGCGTATCTGCAATCTTGAAGGAACTCATGTCCCTTCTGAGATTCGAACCCGTGTCATTCAGTTTTGCAGTCGGAAATGTTATCACTGAGTTATTCGGGATCGTGATGGCGAGCCACCTGCTGGCCACATTGTAAACTTGACTGACAGAATTCAGGACTAGACGCATGACACCAGTAACTTTGCTACCTAGTGTTCAATGTAAGTATCTGATACAGTTCTACGGGAGTCCAGTTGCAACCTGAGTAGCTCAGTGATAATGTCTTTGACTGCAGAACTGCATGACCTGGGACATGAGTTCCCTCAAGATTATAGATACGCCTTGTTGACTGATACGTGCCAGCAAGCACTAAACCTAAGTCAGATTGGGTTCCCTACCGATTGCCTCTAACCATCTAATTAAAACGACTCATAAGACTGACAAATCCTAATTCCTTGTATTCCGGCATCTCTTATTATCATTCATTATTAATGAAACTACCTGAATGCTACTGAAGCTAATACTGCTGAAGTAAAATTGACTTTCAGAAGCTGAATTTTGGCAATTAATTTTTGTAAGATTGTGTGTGTGTGTCCGTGTCCAGTGCTACTTATTAAAGTATAATACATGTAAATTGTCTTTATTTTAGTTGCATAGATCAACCTCTCTTATACTCAGCTTATCTGATCAAATGTGTTTCATAATTGTTTGTTTTTTTCTACTTACCACATTAACTGATCCTTGTTTTATGCTTGCTCAAAATTAGTGGTAGTCATATACTATACTATACTGTATATACAGTTCCATTCGTGTAATGGTTATATCTAAAAGTTCACTCATTATTTATTCATTTTGAATAGAGCTAAATTCGTTTTCTTTTTGTTTGTTGAAAATCTATCTTGTTTTACTGTCATCGTGACTAAGGTGAAAGTGATTTTAGTTTATTGTGTATTTCTCTGCAAAGCATTGAAATAGCATATTCATTTAGTTCTTTGCATTGTATACTAAAGGTATACAATATGATATGATCTTGAATAGATTTGATTAGCGGAGAGCTAGGTGAGAGCTTACGGAGAGTTGTCATCTGACAAGTGTGATGACAACCAGTGGTGTCCGTCAGGGATGCCCACTATCCCCATTTCTGTTTAATTTCATCATAGATGTACTAATGGACTTAAACGTAACTGACTTCAGCGACTCAGGGATTGGCTTGTTACCATCAGGGAATAATCTCGTTGACTTAGAATATGCAGATGATACAGACCTTCTCCTAGGTGAAGACGCTGGCAAAAAGCAGAGTTTTCTAAACACACTGAGCTGCAATCTTCGAATGCTTGGAATGCTATTCGCTCCCGCCAGATGACAGATGGTGCTGCAGGACTGGACTACATTGACTCACTCCCAGCTTAAAGATATGGAGTGAAGTGGTTGGTAGAGCGTGTTGACCACTTCACTTATTTGGGAAGTTGCATCAACCAACGCGAGTGAGTTGATCGCTGACGAAATCGCACCACGGATACAGAAAGCTCGTTTCGTATATGTCGATTTACGTTATCTCTGGCGAAGACATGATATCCGCCTGGCTGTCCACCAAAGGACGTTTGTACTGCTCAGCAGTCCTCTCCGCCCTCCTTTATGGCTGTGAGTGAGACATAGACATTGGAAGTGGAAGACATGAAAAGGCCGATGTCTAGAAACAATTGGTGGTATGGCTCGAGATCGTTGTCAGTGGCGCTCTTTGAAACTCTAACAAATTTCGTATCGTTAAAAGCTTTTTCTCCGGCGCATTATTCTTTACTAATGTTGATCATTTTCCTTTCTCTTAACAGGACAATCGTCGTATCGATCTGCCTCTGTCACCGCCATTGTTAAAACTTCTTTCAACCTATGGTAGTATTGTTCAAGATGGTGATAATCATAAATCAACTTCAAAGAAGTTAGAAAGTGTTGTCACTCCTGAAAATTGTTCAAGTAAAGATGTTCATCAAACAGAGAACAATGTCGACTTTTCTATCCTCTCAGATGTTGAAAGTGCTTTTCAAAATATTCTCTACAGTCGCTCTTCTTCTTCTTCTCCTACAAATCAATCCTTCAAGTTATCAGAACTTGTTCAAGAGTCAAGCTCATCAAGTGAGATTGATGATGCTGATGCTGATGATGAATTTGATTTGGCGTCGTTTCTTGTCAGCCCTCAGTACAAACGACTCTATCAGTGCTCTGAAGAATCTGTTAACCAGTTACAGTCGTCTACAACACACTGGATATCTGGTATATTGCATTTAAATGATTTTTGCCTTATTTATCCTGAACGGGCTAAATTCATGCGACAAATTGCACAATTTCATTGTCGTAAATACAAGAGGATAATGAAGAATACTCAACGAGGAGATGATTTTAGTCAGTTAGCAAATGAGATTTTCGGATGTGATCTAGAAGATTTGTGCATATCTATGGAGTTCCTGCCTCCTTCTAAGGTAACTAATGCGATCATGTATTGCATAATATGCGATTCATGCTTTTATTGATTTATTCCTAATAGGGTGTTTAACAATAGTGTTAATAATGGCTTTACTCCAAACAGTACTTCTGATACAACATGAAATTCTCAGCATGTGGCACAGTATTGCACCTAATTTTCCCCTTAAATTGTACAGGGGAAATAATTAAACAGGGAATTTATATTAATAACATATTTCACTAAGAATATGAAGTTAGAATTCATGGGCTGGCCATTGGATCGGACCCTAGTGGCTTAATGGTCTGCGAGATCGCCTTGTAACCAGAAGGTCCTGGCGGCGGGTGGGCATTGTTGAAGAGTCCCAAACTAGGCTGACGAAACAGCTGTTCAGTACTCCCAGGTTTTCCAATGGTTCTCTAACTGATGTCAGCTGATGATGAAATCCTCCAACTAATCAAATAAAAAACCCTACAAATCCAATACTTGAAAATATGAATATCAAATTAAAAATTTAAGTGAAAATATTGACAACAATACAATAATAATGAAAGAACGAATAAAAACGGCCATCACATAAAATGTGTGCCTTCCAAATAAGGTATATTGTAGAGTTTCTATACTTATTCGTCCGAGCATGAATTCTCTTATAGTTGCTTCTAGTTCTACATGATGAGATAGCTGCAGTGAGAGAGTTGTGTATAGAGAGGATCCTCAGAGTCCAATAAGATAATGTTCTCTGATTTCTTGTACGAGTCCGTCTGTCTATCTACAACAGTATTAACAAGGTGGTTAAAGCGATACCCCACTCGCCTTACTGACGACAGCTTTTAGTGCCCTTCTCACTATAACAAAGGTCTTTCTTAAGTAGTCCAGAAAAGATTAAGCGGGAGAGGGAGCAGGGAAGGAGGGTAGGCAGAATACAAGAATTAACCAATTGTAACTGTAGAGACTGACTAAGTGATACCAGATTGTCTTAACTTCCTTACTTAGAAGGTTAAACGAAATATCATCCTAGAAACTAACATGATGTGGGAATACCGACAGAGATCAGAGGAAATACACAATCCAAGGTAAGGTATTTAACATTCGACTCAGTTTCATTTTGGAGCAATGTGACTTGAGAAGTAACCGGAATGGAAGCAGTCAGATCATCAGCATACATATTGAACTAATGTATATTAAATGATTATTTATGGAATTACCTTTTTTATTTTTAGATTATAGGATTTTGTAGGATTTGGACTGATTCCAATATCGATTTCATCCTGAACCAACATTAGTTAGAGAGATCACTGAAAACCAGACAGAACTGAACAGCTCTTTTGTCATAGTTTGAGACTCTTTGGTGGTGCATACTCATGACACCGCCAGGGGTCGGACCAGGAACCCTCTGGTAACAAGATCAAGCCCACTGACCGTGCAGATATTTGGGCGGAAATTAAATGATCCCCTGAACTCGCGATATAGCGCTATCCCCAACCACAATGACTTTGATGGATGACATCCACTTCACCTTGATATGATGGACCCCACTGGTGCACCTTCAGGAAATCTGTCCAGTAGACATAAACCAGCTGGAGATTGATAATTAGGTTAATAGGATTTTTGGGGAGCGGGATTAATTTATAATTTCGATTATTAGGTGTGGTCACGAATCAATATCAGTTAGAGAGAGATCATTGAAAACCGACAGGATGTACTGGACAGCTCTTTATTTTGATAAGCTTACGTGCATAAATCTTGACCTTAGATAATGTGTTATGAAAAATTCCTATATTGTTTATATATTTCTGCGCAATATGGACAACTGATAAGTTGCCTAGTTTGCGTATATATATATATATATATATTATGCCATTACAAATTAAAATGTCACTAAGTTAATAACTGTGAGTCCTGTCTTGAGTTAAAGTCATGGTGGATGGAAAAGTGAATTCGCATAGAAGTCGTGTAATAGTTGAAGTTTTCTCAGTTTATTGTAACTGTGAAACCTCATTGATTGATTTCATTCCTATGATCTGAACTCTCCTTTGTTTCTAGGAGTCTTCTCAGACCTCCACCTTGAGGATGAATGTCGTTTCCGCTGTGACCATGACCTTACTATGCTGTGCTTGAAGATTGAAAATAGTAGCTTCTTGGAAGTTCTCCATACGTACGATCAATAATCAAGTGTCTCCTGTGTAGCAGAAGTCGAAGTCATCCCCTACAGATACCGCTACATAGGGATTCATTGGAGTGTACTTCCATTACTTTATGTACTATCTCTCCTAGTTGCTCCAGGGGATATATACTCAAAATTAGTTGTGTGTTGCGTGACAACTGTTGCAAAAACATCTACTTCAAAACGATATCATTAGTCTTATATACTTCAAGAAGCGGAAGCATTTGCTGAAGAAGTTGAGATGATCTCTTTGTGCCTGACTCATATCATGTGAGTTATTGCTAAATGCGTTGCTCATTGGAGAGACCACCTTAGGCTTTTACTTGTCATACATCTGGTCTTCCGGGATGTTGTTGATCAATAACTTTGACTTACACCAGCAACACTGTTAATACAGTCGCATATTTAGCTAAACTGAGACTGATACCTCTGGTATCAAATAAGGACTCGACAATTTTGAGCGAAATCATGGGGTTGTTGGAGCCATAAGGCGGTAGATGTAAATCAGTAACCGCGTGGATTGTGGCGTTATGTGTCTCGTCTTCTACTTTATTGGATGTTCTATCAGGTTTAACACTGCTCACTCGCTTGCACACAGGTTTTTCATGTTTATTCCTGCATATACCCTGATTTAGTGCTCGTTTATAGGTCTATAGATATGCTTGAATTGTTGTCTTTCATGTGACTGTGTAACTGGTCTCTTAAAATCAGTCAACATTAATTATGAAAGGTTAACTTTACATCTGTTATTACCTTTCGTTTATCTTATTTTACTTATTTATTTTTCAGCTCTTTGGATTTTCAGCCTATCCATTGAAAGAATATTACGAATGGGAAAGGGATTCTACAGAAGTAGCGGTAGAGAAGAAAACAGATCCTGATATATCGCCGGCAACTCCTGTTTCAAGCCAAAATGTTGAAAAGTATTTAGAACTAACTTTAGCCTTTTGTTTAGATAAAGGTATTCGTAAACAAATGGATGCTTTCAAAGGTAATGTATATTCTCAAGCAAGAGATATTCCTTTTAAATGCATTATATCTGTTGTGTTTTAATTCCTTCTTAAGTGTTTTGTGTAATGGGTAATGTTTTATTTGTAAGTCGGCCTCAAAATAGTGAAACAGTAAGTAATTAGTGAATGCAATCAAATATCCGTCACTGGACTCTGCCTTCGTAACAGTATTCTGTTCTATTCCTTTGCGTTCCAACAGGAACATAGGGCTTCATCAGGACAGCTCCAATTTGTCCTTTCCTCTGTGGTGGTCTTCACGACTGCCCATAGTCTCTCATTTCCTCCTCTCCTCCTCCTCCCCATGTCACCCTCAAACTCCGATAGCCAACCTGTCGTTTCCCACTCTAGTTCCACTAGAGGGCTGGGCTGGCGTGCGATGTCAATGTTTGTCCAATCTATTTTCATTTTATTCTGCATATTTGTTGAGTAATACGTTTTTAGTTGGCTTGTTGCCAGAGATTCTTGTTGGTGATTCTCTTTAGCCAGCCCGAGAAGACAATTGTTGATAAAAGTCTTCACTGGCCTGTTCGAAATGCTTTTATTGACACATGGGCCATGTTTCTGACACGTTTAGAAGAACTGACTGACTGACCGACTTAACATTTATGTCGAAAATCCGAATTTCGTTGTTTAGACTGGTTTCAGAGTGATGGAGGTTTCCCTCACAACCTCATGGATTCTGTCGCCTGTAGGCGAAATGATGCTGCTTGGTTGGATAAGTGAAGGAAGTGACCTCTTTCAAATTCCTCCCGTTGATACTGACTGATGCTTGTTGATGTTGTTGGTTGTTTGGTTGGTTATCCTCACCACCTCTTTCTTCTCTATACTCACTTGAAATCCTGTCTTTGCTGCTTCTTCCGTCAACTTGTTAATTTTCGCCCGTATTCTGTTGAGTTTATGCTACATTAAAAAGTAAATCGTCCAGATCTTCTACAGTCTTCTTGCTTCCGACGTTCAGTCTTCTGCAAATCCGGTCGACCACAATTAAGAATATCATCAGTGGTAGTAGACAACCTTGTGTTACTCTTGTTTCCACTTTAAAGCCTTCGCTGAGTTTTCTTTTGTGGAACACTTGACATTTGGAATTGTCATACAGCCAGCTGTTGAATGAAGTTGATAAAGATTTAAAGCAATGCACTCCATTGTGTTGAAGTAGTTCCCAAATTATCTCACAGTTAACGCTGTTGAAGACCTTTACAAAGTCAAAGAAGCTGGGATGATATAGACATTTACTCGGCATTCTATTGCTCTGTTTGCTGATGCTGCATATCATTGTAATTTGATCAGCACATGAGAATTGCCTTTCCTGAATCCAGCTTGTTCTGATCTGGCAGTGCATCTTCTATCTATTTTTCAAATCCTACTGTCACAAACTTCATGAATTCATATCAGGTTTAGGTGCAACCACCCCGTTAACTCTTTTCTAACCTCTAACCCCCTATGTGCGTCGATGGCACAGCGGTTAGGACTCTCGCCGACCATGTACATGGTCCGAGGTTCGATCCCCAGTCGATGCGCACATGATATCTATGGTCGGCCTGCTAAATTTGGGCTACCGATATCACATGCTGAAAATTTCATACTTGTACCAAAATACTGTGTGGAATTAAGCTGGAGGCTTGAAGTTTCTGTAGCAGTGTTTGTTTTCACAGGATGGGGTTGCTAGCCTCATGCGCAACCTTCCCTCTTCACCAGCATTATTCCTGGCTTAGCGAGGTGAAGGAGTGCGTCGGCGGTCGGGGATCGAATCCCAGACCATGTGCATGGTTGGCGAGCGTCCTAACCGCTGTGCCACCGAGGCACTATTCTTAATCTTACACAACATTAGTTACTACCACTCAGATATACGTGTGTGTGAACATTATTGAAGCAGTGAGACAACAGCAACAACAACACGAACAAGATTAGTGCTACTGCAGATACCAATTTTAGAATAATCGAATGTTCTATGCACTCATCTGTCAGTCAATTATTGGCATCTATGTGTGTATGTGTGTGCGTGTGTGATTCATTAGAATTTATTAACCAAATAATACACACTTGCATTATGTACATGTTGTGTTGGATACTAAACGAACTATGAAAAAAAGTAAGACATGCAGTCACTTGTTCTTGCTGCCTACCTCCATTCCTCCCTCCCTCCCTCCATCCGTCTTCCCTCGATTTGTGTGTGTGTAGTTGACGTTTTCTTTAAGAAGTAGTGGAGTGATTTTTAAAAAAATATTTGTCGCCTTATGTCTAACATACCGAAATTCGTTGACAGCATATATATAAAATACTCATTTAAAAATTAAAAAATTTGATGTTTTTGAAGGCTTTATAAGCCAAGTAATTGCTTCAAGCGCGTTTGTTTCCTTTGCCTAGTTCTAAAGCACGTGTTGTCGCATTTTATTTTGACAGAAATTTCATATTGTGTTGTATGATTTACGTGTGTGTGTGTACACATTTGAAGGAAATTTGAGTAGTTGATATCAACAGGTTTATGTGCTCATGCACATGTGTGCTATATTGGTGACAATTAATCTTAACTACCTTCCATTTCTTGCTTAAATTGCCTGGAAGGATTCATAGTGTGATGATGATGATGATGTTTGAAGCCTGAGGCGTTACATGTTAGTGCAACTCATACCTTTCCTAGTCGATTTCATCATTTTGATATATCTGCTTTATTTGTTAGCGCATCATTGTAACAGAGTTGTTTCATAGTGCGTTTGTTCATCTGTATTGTATTACATGTTGAGAACTCTGTATTTTGTAATAAAAGTACTGTTTGGAATAAAGCTATTATTATTATCACCTGGAAACACCGGCTTCGGTGACTTGGACATATGCAGTGAATGTTGTCCAAGAGGCTACCGTATTTATATTATTATTGTTTCCTTTAATTCCTAGAGGAACATAGGGCTTTAGTCGTGCGTCTCCATTGCGTTTGGTTCTCTGCTAGAGTTTTCACCTGGCTCCATGTCTGCCCACACGTTTTCATCTCCTCCTCACATGACCTCCTCCAAGTCACCCTTGCACTGACGACCAACTCGCCGCTTCCCTTTCGGGTTCCACTCGATCACTGGCTTGTCTAGTGATGTCACTTGATGGTTTCCTCAGAGTATGGCCAATCCATCTCCATTTCTTCCTGCCTATTTGGGTGCGTCGGTGGCACGGTGGTTAGGATGCCCGCTGACCATACACATGGTCCGGGTTCGATCCCCTACCGACACAATCCTTTACCTCGCCAAACCAGTAATAACAAAGCCGGTAAGAGGAAAGGTTGGGCATGAGGCTAGCAACCTCATCCTGTAAAAGTAAACACTGCTACAGAAACTTCAAGCCTCTAGCTTGAAGCCCTATGTTCCACTGGGAACGTGAAGGAATGTTGTTTGATCTTGTAAAATATACTTGCTCCCTCTCTGGATAACCTTCTTTATTCATTCTCCCCTCCCTCCTTTTTACATATTGTTGTTTTATAATCATTGCGTGGTACATCTCGTCGGCGCTTACGTTCTACCAATTTTGTGTTTTAAATAATGTAGGATAATGACGTATTGGCTAATTCATATATTAAACAGGTTGATTTATCATGCTAGTCTGTAGGTTTGTACTATGTCATAACGTAATTTGCCTACGAGGCAGTTAGAATGATGTCTTCAGGATTTGCGTTACTACCGAAGTTATCTAGTGGGAAGTCGTGACCAGTAGGGTGCAGCAGGTCGGCTGTGAAGACAAATACTCGCCGAAGACATTGACTAGCGGTTGCGCTATATCGTGAATTGGCAGAAGTTAGAATTCATGGGCCATTGGATTGGCGGGTCCCAGTGGCGAGCTCGCCTTGTAACCAGAAGGTTCTGGGTTTGAACCCCAGTGGGTGCGTACCGCTGAAGAGTCCCGAACTAGGACGAAACAACTGCCCAGTACTCCCTGTAGTTTTTCCAATGGTCCTCTAACCAATGTCAGCTCATGATGAAATCCTGTAACCAATCAATCAAATCCTTAAAAACCAATATTTGTATATCTGGCTATTGCTATTGTGAACCGAATAGTTTTATTGAGTTGAAATCTTACTGTAATCATTAGAGGTAGTGCCTGATCGTTATGTGAGTAGAGATGACTTATTACTTACTGTCTGTTAGGTCTTCTGCTGTCAATCTTAATTATACTGAATTAACAGTAGAGGAATAGGCCTTTAATTGATGAGGTGAGCGGGTCTAATATAGCTAGCTGTCTATTATATATGTACATATATGACAGATATACTAATCTTTACTGTCGTAAGGCTGAGTCGCTGCAGACTCCATCAAGAACAAAAACAATTGATTGGAACATAGGGCTTCAACAGCGAATCTGCATTTTATCCTTTTCTCTGCAGTCGTCTTCAGTGAGTCTCATGACTGCTCATAGTCTTCTTTTATATCTCCTCCTCACACGATCTGCTCCATGTCACTGTCGAATCCACACGCAACTCGTCGTTTCTCATTGAGATTCTATTCGAGCGGTGATCTTGTGGGTCCCCAATCCATCTCCACTTTCTTTGGAATATTTGTTAAACAACAACCAAGGTTCTTGGCTGATTTATTGGTTACCAGAGCTTCTAATTGCTTATCCTTTTCAGCCAACCTTCTGGTCATCAGTGTGGAGCTAGCGAAGGTGGCAGCTGTTGATGAAAGTCTGCAGTGGACTGTTGGAAATGCTTCTTAAGTCTCAGGTCAATTTCTGAACTTATCATAGTGTGTAAACTATTGAAATATAATTATAATTAATTTTGGACCCGCACAATGTTAGTTTTGACAGTTCGAATTTGGTTCTTTATACTGAGTGTAGTTCAGAAGATTTCCGAACTCATTTGAGGATGATGAAGGTCTGCGTTTTCTTTCTTTAGTGGGATAGTATAAATTATATATATATATATATATATATATTCAAAAGAATGGATACAGAACGAAGAATACTCTTCTTGATAACTTCATCATCATCAGGTTCTACAGTTATATATACATTATAGTGAATGAATGAATTAGTGTTATGAACAACATTGATGTTGTTTAAATAACATGGAATCAATAATACTGATAGATTACAGCTGAACACCATCAACATAAAATAAGCTGAATGTCAGGAAAATTAGGAAAGATAATATTACAAATTCATGAGTGTATAGGTTCTACTGAGGGCCAGGGCAGTAGTAGTGGCTGGACTTGTTTCTTTTGAACACAGAGCACTGGTTGTTTGAGGCGAATTGTAATAGCCTCTGCTGTTTGGAGCATGCAGTACTTCGATGTTTTCGGCAATTTATTTGGCACCCGGTAGATGATTGTGGAGGAGGATTCATCCACGCTGGCTTTGTGACCGGTTTGCACCAGATGGTCTAATATCGAACTTTTGATGGTTTTCACTACACCTTTACTTAGCCATACTAGGAGATGTTTTCGAGCACGAAAATTCTAGTTCCTAGAGCAACGGCCGATATAACTCGCTCCACAAGCGCAGTTGGATTGGTAGATACATTTGGAAGTGGCTAACTAGTCTAGTCACTTCATCTTTCATTCGAGGAATCACCATTGGCCGTGTAGAGAATAATACGTGTAGTTCACCAGCATTAAAAGTTCTTTGAACTGATTTTCTTAATTTCTTGGTAATTATCTCACGTGGTATATCTCCCATGAATTGTAGTCATATATATAAAGGCTTCTTGTTTACAGACAGTGAGTAGTCCTTTTCCGCTCTCTTGATAAATGTTTCGGAATAGCTATTTTTGATCAAAGTATCGTATACAATGCCTAATTCATCTTCAATTACTTCTTCTGAGCATGTAGCTCTAACTCTGTGGCTGACGGTCTTCACTAAATTTCTTTTGTAATTGATAGGAACGAAGCTGTGAGAGTGTGTATATTGTCCTGTCCAAGTGCTTTTTCTATGCAAGTTTCTGTTTATGTTACCGTCTGGTTTTCTTGTAAGTAGGACATCCAGGAAGGCAATATATATGTATATAACCCGAATTTATTAATAATCGCACATTCATTCATTCGTTCATTCTTCCTTTCTTTTAGATGGTTTTCAACGTGTCCTACCTTTACGTTGGTTAGCCTTATTCACTGGAACAGAGCTAGGCCAATTAATCTCTGGTGATTCAGTTGCTCAATGGACACGTGAAGATCTCCTCGCCTATACAGTGCCAAGTTTAGGCTTTACTAAACAATCCCCAACCTATCAAATGTTAATCAATGTACTCAGCAATTTCAATCTGGCTGAACGACGCGCCTTTTTACAATTTACAACAGGTTGTTCTAGTCTTCCACCGGGTGGTTTAAAAAATCTGCATCCACGCCTGAGAATAGTACGTAAAGAAGTGACAAACAGTGGACCGTATCCTAGTGTCAACACATGTGTACATTATTTAAAGCTACCAGAATATCAATCAGAGAAAGAGTTACGCACGCGGTTGTTACAAGCAACAAAAGAGATTGGTTTCTATTTGAATTAAATCAATTTCCCTGCTTCTTTCTTTCTTTCTTTTCACGGTTTATCATTTGTTCTCTTTGGTTTTGTATTTATACATATATATAAAGTGACTCAAGGTAAACTATGGAGAAACATATGACATTTTCTGGTCGAAAGTTACTCAAAATCCCTTTCTTTTTCTGCATGTATTTGTGTGTGTGTGTGCGTGTGTGTTTCTATGTATGTTCAGTTTGTATATCAGTCTTTGTCGTTCTGCTCAGTTGATGTGACCGTACTATCTTTCGTAAACTACCTATTGTATTGTGTGTGATTTTCGAATTTCCGCAGAAATCTCACCCCTTGTTTGCTTGTTTTCTTAACAAGTCGAAAGAAAGCACCACTGTAGGATCCATCCATTCACATCTATAGTGATATTTTTTGGGTAGAACCCAAACAGTCTTTGGCTTCTTTCTTCCTGCTTATTTTGTGTATCCATCCATCTATCTATCTGTCTATCGTACATGGAAAAAGTGCTAGTAGTAGTAGCAGTTGTTGTTGTAGTAATTCAGCAAAACAAAATTACTGCTCAACTCAACTCAACTCACGTCGACTCGACTTGACTGAGTCAAGACAAACAACTGATAATTGCGATGGCGATGATGGCATGCCTTATAGATCAAGTTGTATCCTTCCAGTGTGTTACAGTGTGTCTCACGATCGAAGAAATTGATCTTGTGATCTTGATCTTAGTGAGACTGGTAACAATATTGTAACTTTCTCTCGCTGTGTGAGTGTGTCTCTGTCTGTTGTTTATTTTGGTTGGTTTGTCTCTCTCATTGTTTTTTTAAAAAAAATAAATATCTGTATAAACATTACGTATTTGTATCGCATACACAAATTAGTAATAATTAACTTCAGAGACTTTTATTATTATTATTATTATTGCTAATTACTGTTATTATGAAATTAAATATCGATTTGAATAAATAAATAAATAATTTAATACAATACAATGAAATATCTAGTAAAGAATTCTTTTGTTGTAAAAATATATTGAAGAAGAGAAATGCTTGTGTAGTTCAACGTTTCCTATTGCACGTGTGGAGCTAGGTATATATCGGTCGTTTGACTCGAGTTTTGTCCAAGAGGGTGCAAGGACACTATCCTCCTGCATGTTAGTTACGAAGAGGTGGAAGTGGAGCAATAAGAAGCGTGATCATTGAACATCTTGTGGATAATGATCACCCTATCTCCATAGCCTCCGCCTTTAAAGTCATCTACAAGGCAAAGAGTAATTTTCAAAAAAATGGATATTGAACAAAGAGTACTCTTTTCGATAAATTCATCATCAGGCTCTACAGTTATATATACATTATAGTGAATGAATGAATGAATCAGTGTTATCAACAACATTGATGTTGTTTAAACAACATCGAATCAATCAATAATCCCAATAGATTACAGTTCAATAGCATCAACATAACAATAAAGGGAATGTCAGAAAAATTAGGAAAGATAATATTACATATTCATGAATTTATAGTCTCCACTGAAGACCGGCCAGGGCAGTGGCAGTGGCTGCTTAACTTGCTTCTTTTGCACACAAAGCACTGGTTGTCTCACGCGAATTGCAATAGCCTCTGCTGTTTGGAGCATGCAGTACTTCGACGTTTTTGACAATTTATTTGGCATCCGGTAGATGATAGAGAAGGATTCTTCAATGGTGGCTGGCTTTGTGACCGGTTTGCACCAGATGGTCTAGTATCGAGCTCTTAATAGTTTTAACTACACCTTTACCTAGCCATAGTGGGACATGTTCTCGAGCACGAAAAATCAAGTGCCTAGAGCAACGGCCGATATAATTCGCTCCACCACGAGCGCAGTTGAATTGGTAGAAACAATTGGAAGTGGCTAGTCTAGGTACTTCATCTTTCAGTCGAGGTAGCACCATCGGTCTTGTAGAGAATAAGATGTGTAGTTCGCCAGCATTAAAAGTTCTTTGAACTGATTTTCTTAATTTCTTCGTAATTATCTCGCTTGGTATATTGCCCATGAATTGTAGTCGTATATATGAAGGCTTCTTGTATACAGACAGCGAGTAGTCCTTTTCCGCTTTCTTTGTCATGTGTTTCTTGATAAATTTGTCGGGATAGCCATTTTCGATCAAAGTATCTTATACAACGATTAATTCATCTTCAATTACTTCTTCTGAGCATATAGCTCTAACTCTGTGGGGGAGGGTCTTCACTAAATTTCTTTTGTAATTGATACGAACGAAGCTGTGAAAATGTGTATATTGTCCTGTCCAAGTGCTTTTTCTATGCAAATTTCTTTTTATGCTATCATCTGGTTTTCTTGTAAGTAGGTTATCCAGGAAGGCAATTCCGTCTTGAGATTCCTCTTCGCATGTGAATTTCATAGCCGAATGTGCTTCATTGAATTCAGTAATTATTGTACTCCTATCAGAACCAAATTGCTAAAATCATCGAAGCACCGCATGCTCTAAACAGCAGAAGCTATTGCAATTCGCCTTAAACAACCAGTGCCTTGTGTTCAAAAGACGCAAGTCCAGCCCCTACTACTGCCCTGGCCTTCAGTACAAAAGCTATAAACTCATGAATTTGTAATATTATCTTTCCTTATTTTTCTGACATTCAGCTTATTTTATGTTGATGCTGTTGAGCTGTAATCTATCAATATTATTGATTCGATGTTATTTAAACATTAATGTTGTTCATAACACTAATTCATTCATTCACTATAATGTATATGTAACTGTAGAGCCTGATGACGATGAAGTTATCGAAAAGGATATTCTTTGTTCAGTATCCATTCTTTTAAAAAATAATAATTTTGGATTTAGAATGATAAGTGGAACTAGGGGAAATAATTCAGACTGAGAATAATAATATAATCATAATCGTAATAATAAGGGAAAGGTACATAGAATAACTAAATAAATAAATTTGTATCCCTCTACGGCTAAAGCACACAAAGGTCTGGCTTAAAGTCATGAATCGCCAAGGCCTCCGCTGTCTTTAGAAGTCTGTAAAGAAGAAAATGCGGTAAGCTGGCAGGGATTCCTACCGTCTTTGTTTCAATGTCTTCTATTCTGAGTGAAGTTCCAGTAGCTGTGGTGTTTGGTTTTACAGGGTGGAGTTTAAAAGGGCATCGGCTGCAAAAGGAATCCGGACTTCTTCTTCCTTCTATGTGGTGGTGGCTAGGGAGCCATGTGCGTGCCAGTGGAACTATCGACAGACGATAGGATAGTGTGATTGAACCAATGTAGTCATCAGCTTTACTGTAATATGAAAGAAGAGTAACCGATTTAAGATATTCAATTGGAGAATGATGAAAAAATGTTTAGTTTTGATATAACTATTCTGTATACTAATGTACCAGTCATCAATATAGCCTTAGAAGTGGTTAAAAGAAAACCGACTGCTGATCCCGAACTTATTCATAGGACAAAGCTAGCTACCTATTTAGAAAATTATTTTCGGAATTTAATTCTGCCTCACATCTACTGTCTTTAAATTCCAAGGCAGGATGTATAGACAAACAAAAGGTATAGCAATGGGATCACCGATATCCCCAATCGTAGCAGATATCTTTATGGATAGCTACGAAAGTAAAGCTCTTAATACATTTAATCGTACTGGAAACATATGGTGGTGATATATGGGTGACACTTTCGCAGTGTTAAAAACAGAAATATCTCTAGCTTCTTGACACACATAAACTCACTAGTGAAGGGAATAAAATTCACATTTGAATCGGAAAATCAACAAAGAGAATTAGGTGTGATGTCAGATTATAAAATAAAACGAACAGAAGTAGGTGGACTGCACACTAGCGTTTATAAACAGCCAACGCATTCCAATAGATATTTAGACTTTAATTCATCTCTTCCGTTGTCTGTAAAGACAGGCTTAGTTAAGTGTCTAACAAACCGAGCAGTAGTAGCACAAGAAAAGACCTAAATGATGAAACAAAACATATAGAAGAATAGCTGGTTGGTATCAAATAACTATCGTATAAAATTCACTAGGAAGATCAGAAAAGGTCAAATGCAAAATAAAAATTATTGTGAAACTAATAGGGATAAGAAACAATAGGTAGCATCTACAGTTTTATCATATGAGGAGGGGACATCTGAGACCCTACGCAGGAGTTAGAGTGGCATTTAAACCTACAAACTCACTCAGGGACAAGCTCTGTAGATTAAAGGACCCAGTTAACCCAATTAGACAAAATAATACAATTTACAAAAAAGCCTCGCAATGACTGTGAGTTAAGTCAATTACACAGGTCAGGCAAACTAGTAGATCAGAGGTTGTCAGAGCGTAAGAATTTAGCTAAGGTTAGAATGGTTGACCCCAAGAAGATAAGTAATTTAGAAAAAAGCTCAGCAATTGCACTGCAGTGACACTAAATACATTGATAAGTTAAGGTTTCAAGATCGTAGTTTGTGCGGGAGGGGAATACTACCAACACTGTATTATAAGGACAAATGTAGTACTTTAGAAAAATTAGGTTTATACAACACGAGCACTGAGGAGCCCATCGAATGACATCACATGCTGGGCCATTGCTTGAGTAGAATCCGAAATGAGAAACAATGACTTGGATGTTTTTGTCCGAGGGTGACATGGAGGAAATGAATTGAGGTGGTAACTAAAGCTTATGGGACATCGTGGGGCCAGTTGAAGAGGACTGCAAATAATAGAACAAAGTGATTTTCTGTTAAATCCCTGTGTTCCACTCGGAACTCAAGGGGACCATAAGCCTACAAACTCACTCAGGAACAACCACTATAGTTTAAAGGACCCTGTTGACCCAATTAGGTAAAATAATATAATTTACAAAAAGTTCAGATACCTTGGATGAGAGTTGTTTCAGTTGTTTCGCATAGTCGACAACCGTTCGAGTTCACCTTGAGTGACAGAAAGACACCAGATAACATAACTGTGATGGATTTTTGGTAGTTGGCAGGTTGTGACAAGCTCATCGTAATTGCCCAGTAATTGTCAATGACTTTCTAAATAATCCGTTGCATAAATTCCGATGGAAAACTAAGGATGAGAAACCTTTGTAGTGAATGCAGGAGAAAAAGAAGGCTGAATACTGTCATTGATATTATTCCTAATGGGACACCGTACATGGAGAGCGAGAAGGCGGGATTACGTTGAACCGATAAGAAGACTCAAGAAGACCTGGACGATTTACGCCTAATGTCACACAAACTCAAAGAATTAAATTTCAAAACCAACAAGTTGGAAGAAGAAACAACCAGCGAAATCAGAACTTTAGGTTAACGTAGTTAAGACGGAGGTTTTAAAGATAGCCAACCAACAATAACAAACTTCAGTAACTGTCAACGGAGCAAATTTAGAAGAGGTCTTTTCCTTCAATTTATCTGGCTAGGAAGCATCGTCTTTAATAGAGGCGGAGCGGATGAAGATGT